GTTTATTCTGAGGGTTGTTGACATATGTTAAGTTGAAAAGTCTGAGAAAATTCAGTTAAATGACTTACATCAATTTATTGAAGATCTTAACTGATAAATAATGGCTAGACCCTGAGTTCTGGTTCCCATGTGTAATGATGAGAAAAAAACTGGTTTTCACGTTGCATATGAGAGATGTAATTCTAAACTCTGGAAAACACTCAGCTGATGAAGAGGTCGCTGTAACAAGGGAGGCGCGTCTCTGGATTGTGAAGTGGCTCAGGGCCGCGTCAGAGCCGCAGCTTCTGCAGTGAGACGAAATCCTGGCCATGGGACTTCTGGCTCGCTGCCCGCAGACACACTGTTTAACCTGTCCAAGCTGCTTTGCACCTGTCCTGGAGGGGCATGGGCGTCACCCGTGTCTGCATGCCAGCTGTGAGGAGAGCAGCCTTCGCCCCTGCAGGTGCTGCTGTCCTGACTGGGGTCGGGCACCTCACTGGTTCCTGCATGGACCAGAGGCATTCTCCCACAATGGCACGTGTGCATCTGTGCTCAGAGTGTGAGAAGGCTCCCCCACCTGTCCAGTGAACTTTTTTTTAAAAGATTTGTTTTATTTTGATTGGAAAGTCAGATATACAGAGAGGAGGAGAGGAAGATCTGTCCGATGACTCACTCCCCAAGTGGCCGCAATGGCAGAAGCTGCACCGATCCAAAGCTAGGTCTCTTCCAGGTCCCCCACGTGGGTGCAGGGTCCCAAGGCTTTGGGCCGTCCTCAACTGCTTTCCCAGGCCACAAGCAGGGAGCTGGATGGAAAGTGGAGCAGCTGGGATTAGAACCGGCGCCCACATGGGAGCCCAGTGTGTGCGAGACAAGTGTTTGGTCACTGAGCCATTGTGCTGGGCCTGGTAGACTGTTGACGTGAAAGCCCTTTGGGCCATTTCAGACACACGGAACATGGTGACAGTGGGCGGGGGCTGCACTGGTGTTGGTTGCCGCCCTCCCTGCGGTCGGCCCGTGTCTTCCACCCAGTGTCCGTAGGGGTGTGAGCGTTGGGGACCTCAGACACTAGGTGTCTGGATGGAGTTAGCAGTTTGCAGCTGGGTTTACTGTTTGTGTTGCACATTCCTGTGGGGTTTGACAGACAGTGACGTTCACAAATGCGCTGGCCCCACCTGTCCGCGTCCCTGCCCTGCGAGCTGCTGCAAGCTGTGCGTGCCCAGACTCTGCAGTAGCAGGGGGCACTCGGCACCGGGCTGCAGCTCCCACTTGCTCCCACTCAGCTTAGCACTGTGTGCTGAGCGTGTCTCCCTGTGTCTGTGGCATGGATGGGTCATTGTGTCATTGTGTTTGCTGGTGAGAATACCTGTCTGAAGGCCCTCTGGTCGCTCTGGGTTGGGCAGGCACGGCTGCTGTGAACACACGCAGGCGCGTCGGTGTGGATGTCTCCTTGCGGTAACCGTAACAGCACGATTTCTGTCTCAGGGTGGAAGTGTATTCAGTGTGTAAGAAACTGCCAGCTGACTTCCAACATTGCCATGCCTGTCGGCAACCCCACCGGCAGGTTGCTCTGCCCCACAGCTGTAGCATTTGGTGAAGTCACTGTTTTGGATATGGCTTAATTGGTATACAGTGGCATCTCATTATTTCATTAAAGTATTTATTGGAGGAGCTGGGGCAGTGGCGTAATGGGCTCATCCTCCACTTGCAGTGCCAGCATCCCATATGGGCATGGGTCCTGGTCCCAGTGCTCTACTTTTCCAGTCCAGTTCCCTACTAACGTGCCTGGGAAAGCAGAAAAGGATGGCTCGAATTCCTGGGTCTCTGTACCCTGTGGAAACCCAGATGCAGCTCCTGGCTTCAGACCAGCCCAGTTCTGGCCATGTCATTTGGGGAGTGAACCACCGGGTGGAAGATTTTCTCTGTGTGTGTGTAGCTCTGCTTTTCAAATTAAAATAAATAGGGCCTAGCGCGGTAGCTTAGTGGGTAAAGGCTTAATTTTGCATGCACCAGGATCCCACGTGGGTGCCGGGTTCAAGTCCCAGCAGACCCACTTCCTGTTCAGCTCCCTGCCTGTGGCCTGGGAAAGCAGTCGAGGACGGCCCCAAGCCTTGGGACCCTGCACCTGTGAGGAAGACCTGGAAGAGGCTCCTGGCTTTAGATTGGCTCAGCTCCACCATTGTGGCCACTTGGGGAGTGAATCAGCAGATAAAAGATCTTTCTTTCTCTGTATATCTGCCTTTCCAATAAAATAAATAAATTCTTAAAGAATAAATAGCGAAACAGTAGTTGAAAGATGGGGAGGTGGAGCAGTCTCCTGGCTGAGCCAGTCTGAAGACGAGGGCAGGAGCTCTGACCACCTGGGCTTGGGCGGCCTAGGCCTCAGCAGCAGCTGCCCATCAGCAAGAAGGTGCCCGGGGGCCCTGGGCATCCCAGCCTTTGTCTTCAGGGTACCAGATGTCTGCCTGTGCTGCTTAACATCTATTTATTTTGATCAGAAAGGCCGATTTACAGAGAAAAGGAGACAGAGATCTTCCATGCACAAACTCATTTCCTAAAAGGCTGCCACAGCTGGAGTTGAGCTGAGCTGACCAGCAGCCAGGAGCTTCTTCCTGGCTTCCCACATGGGTGTCGGGCCCAGGTGCTGGGTCATCTTCCATTGCTTTTCCCAGGCCATTGGGGAGCTGGGTCACAAGTGGAGCCGTCACAGCTCTGCGTGCTGAGCACCTGCTGTTTGTCCGTTGCATGGACTCCAGCGTGGTCGCAGCACAACCTCTGCCCTTGCAGTGTTCTGGAGTGGCCTTTGTCACCTCCGCAGCCTGGAGGCGTGCCACATCAGGGCGTGAGGAGAGCCTCACCAAGTATGCCTTCCGGGGAGCTTCGAGAAGGTTGGGGGGCTCAGGGTCTGCTCTATGTTTCCAGAAATAATGTATTAGGGCCGGTCTTGCTGTGGAGTGGACCAGGCTGTTGCCTGCCACCCTGCCATTCCCTAGGGGCCCCAGTTCAAGTCCTAGCTGCTCCACTTCTGGCTCAGCTCCTGGCTAATTGCCCGGGAAAGCAGCCGAGGATGAGCCAAGTGTGTGGGCCCTTGAGCCGCGTGGAGACCCTGAAGGAGCGCTTGGCTTTTTGGTCTGCTTCAGCCCTGGCTGCTGCCCTCACCGAGGGAGTGAACTAGCTGCCGGAAGATCTTTCTGCCTCCCTCTCTCTGTGACACTGACTTTCAGATAAATCGTCATGTTTACCAGTTCACGTTAGTGGCAGAGAGATTGCAAATGCTAGAGTACATACTTTTACAGATCATCTAAAGCCAGCAGCCATACAGGACATCAGCACTATGCCATATCTGCTTTGGTGGCACAGGCTGACGGACTCACACTGGTGCCCGGTGGTGAGGGCTGCGCGGACGGACTCGCGCTGGTGTGTCCTTCCACGTGCATTTGTGGATTGCATAGTTAAAGCAGTGGTTTGAACCGCACTGAACTGATGTGCTGTTATGGGTGTCATGTGGCGAATGGTTTAGGGCTGTGCTACTCAGATTCAGCCTCGCCTGTGTCCCGACAGGCAGGTGAATGTGTACTGGCAGGCTGACTTCCTGTTTGGTTGGGGGATCCCTGCCCCCCTCAATATCCTAAGGGGAATTGTGTTTTTGGAAGTTAAGAGCTTCTAGTTGTCTTGCTATCAAGTTGAACCTGTTTCTCACCCCGCAGCCCTGCAGTGCCACCTGGTGGAAGAAGGGTGTGTGTGTAGGACTATGCCAATTTTGGGGAACTTTTTAATTCTCTGAGTCAGTGAGAAGAGGACAGGTCTGGCTGTCCTGTCTTGTTGAGACCTTGGAGAGCCTTGGCAGGGTCTTCCCCTCGTGGCTGAGAGCACCTGCTGTCCACAGATGGGCACTGTGTCCTTGGGCGGCGGGTCTCTGGCATGCCTGCCCTGTGCTGGGCCCTGGCAGCACAGCAGGGATGGAGCTGTTTAGGGAGGCTAGACAGGCCGTCGGAACAGAGGCCTGGGGCCAAGAGGGCCTGGAGCGGGCAAGAGCAGTGGCCACAGTGGGTGTGGGTTGGGGTTAGGTTAGGCGTGGCTAGCCCTGCTGGAGAAAGAGTGGCACGGCCAGTGTGTCTGGATCAGGGGAGCGGCAGGGCTGTGCTCTGCGGGACTCCTCGGACCAGGAAGCAGCCTGGGGAAGGGGAGTGGACCCATTGGGGCCCTTCCCTGACCTCCTGCCTGCAAGGTGCCTGTGGATCCCAGGGGTCCAGCACCTGGTGTGCTGGGAGAAAGATTGGGCCAGCTCTGCTCCTGTGTGGTGGCATGGGCAAGCCCCTGAGAGGCACGGCCAGCCCTTGCTTGGCTGCCCCTGCCACACTCAGGTTTCTGAGACTTTAGTCCATTTTTAAAGCGCTGTACTTGAGAGGCATCGAGCCATTTTGCAGGGCTGAGCAGAACCAGGAGGTGGTAGCTGGGTGAAGCTGTGCCACAATGTCTTTGGCTTTGTGCCAGGGCTGTTAGCTCCTTTAGAAACAGGCTGGCATGTGAGGTGTGGGCATTTTAGTTGTGCAGGTGTCGTTCATGGCTGCCTTCTTGCCCACTCTAAGGTGAGGTGCCTGCTGCCCGCGTACCAGCACTGGGCTGTCCAGGAGCTGCTGTCTGAGGGTTTTCTGGTGACTTGTAGTTCACAGTCTGTCCAATACTGTTCTCTTTTGGGATTTTCCTCTGTGGACTTCAGAATCAGCTTTCCTAGATCCAAAAGCTAATTAGGAAGGCATCTGCCTACGGAGGGATGGCTGTCAGGGAAGGGGGAGGGGGAGAGGGGCTGCTGGGGGGAAGGGGCTGCGGGGTGGGAGGTGGTGTCAGGAGGGAGGGCTGTTGGGGAAGGGGAGCTGGCGGGGGGAGGGGAGCTGCAGGGGGAGGGGGCTGCGGGGTGGGTGTCGGGAGGGAGGGCTGCCGGGGGAGGGGTGCTGCCGGGGGAGGGCAGGGTGGCAGCATCACGGCAGAGTGATGGACTCGGTGGTCGTGGTGACGTCCCTCAGATGATCCTCACCGTGTTCCTGAGCAACAACGAGCAGGTTCTGACCGAGGTCCCCATAACCCCAGAAACCACATGTCGGGACGTGGTGGAGTTCTGCAAGGAGCCTGGGGAAGGCGGCTGCCACCTGGCCGAGGTGTGGCGGGGCAATGGTAAGTCCAGTCCACCCCTGCCCCCATACTCTGAGCTGACCAGCACGCCCTGTGCAAGCCAGCTGCGCTGCCCGGGCACTAATTTCTCCATCTGAGTTTCTCCGCTTGATCCGAGGAGGGAAGCCGGGCTCTGGCCAGGAAGGGGTTTGTCAGCCAGGTGTGTGCAGGCCAGTGGGGCAGCGTGGCGTGGTTGTTGGCCCACGGTCCTACAAGGGCTGGCCTGAGGTGGGCAGCATGTGCTGAGTCGTGGGGAGGACAGTGCACTGGTGTGAGGCTGACCTGGCTCAGGGCCTCCTGCGGGGCTGAGGGCTGGAGACGGACAGCACTGCGTTCCCTTGGGGTCGGGTGCTCTGGCCAGGTCTCCCTCGTTGCAGACACCTGTCCTGGGTGACGGCAGGCGCCCCTAGCAGGATGAGAGGAAAGACCCCTTCCTGCCGTGAGCTGGTCCCTCAGAGCCCGTGAGCCCGGGGGGTCGCAGCAGCGAGCTGTCGGTCCTGCTGCAGGAGGATGGGTGGGGGAAGCTGGGCATGCAGGAGCGTGCTAGGACACTCGCCTGCTGTCCCCAGGGCACCGCAGTTCCATGAGGTGGTAGTGTTAGTGATCTTACTGTATATGGTCCCTGGTGCCCTTCATGGAGAAGGAGAGTGGCGTGCTTGGTAAATGTAGTGGCTGTGTCAGCTGTGTGCTTGCGTGACTGGTGAGGGGTGCTGGAGTGAGGGGTGCTGGAGTGAGGGGTGCTGGAGTGAGCTTTGCTCCAAGGAGTATTTGCAGTGGGGTGTGCTGCGGAGCACGGGTCAGGCTGCTGCTTGGACATCCACACACATTGTCGCAGTGCTGGTTCCCGCACTACCCCCTTCCCCCACCCGGTCCAGCTCACTGCTGTGTCCTGGCCCAGGGGGCACCGTGATGCCTGGCGTGCTGGGCCTCTGCCCTCCACGTGGGAGACCTGCATGGAGTTTGTGGCTTGGGCCTGGCTCTCTCCCCTTCCCTCCTGTCTGTGGCTGTGAAAGGCATTCCATGCCTGGGCGTCGGGCCTTTGCTCTCTGTGGGTGCTGGCACATGTCCCAGTCCACCTTTCCATGTCGGATCACTACATGTGATGGTTTAATTGATTGATTCGGAAGGCAGAGGGGCCATAGCTTTCTCGTGGAGATCAGTAGGCAGCTGGATCCCGAGTGGGGCAGTCAGGACTTGAACCGGCACCCATGGACTGCCGAGGTCCTGGGTGGAAGCTTGACCTGATGAGCGACACTGTGACCCCTGGTGACTGGCTGGTCTGTCCAGCTGGTTCTGCTGAAGGCAGGAGGTGCGTGCCCTGTGCCGCACCTGCAGCAGGGTGGGCCTGCAGAACACTTCTGCGTGGGCTCCTTTCATGTTCCTGCTTCTGTTGAAAGGGTTGAAGTTGAGCACTTGTAATGCAGTGTTGTGTGTGTGTGTGTGTGTGGGCATGGAGGTGTCTGTATCTTGTGGGCACGAGTGGGCTTGCAGCAGCCGGAGGCGTCTGTGTCCTGTGGGTATGAGTGGGCGTGCAGCCATGGAGGTCTGTGTCCTGTGGGTGTGCAGCAGCCGGAGGCGTCTGTGTCCTGTGGGCGTGCAGCCATGGTGGTCTGTGTCCTGTGGGTGTGCAGCAGCCGGAGGCGTCTGTGTCCTGTGGGAGCGAGTGGGTGTACAACAGCCGAGGCGTCTGTGTCCACAGTGAGATTGTCTTTCTCCTAGAACGTCCCATCCCGTTCGACCACCTGATGTATGACCACCTGCATAAGTGGGGGCCGCGCAGGGAAGAGGTGAAGTTCTTCCTCCGCCATGAAGACTCCCCAGCTGAGAGCACCGAGCAAGGTAGATGGGCACTGTCTTCCTCACCGCGTCGCTTTTCTGCACAAGTTAACTTAGGAGAAATGATGGAACATGAGCCCGTGTTAGTCCCAGTGCCCCGTCCCCTTCACTCGTTCTGCAGTGCCGGTCTTGATGCTGCCGGCCACCAGGCTTTCCTTTGGTCTGGGCCTGGCCAGGCAGGGAGGGACAGCGCGCGGTCAGGCACAGCTGCTGAGGTGTGATGGGCTCTCAAAGGGACAAATCCGTGAGTGCAGACGGGCCCTTCTAGGGGTCCCCCAAAGCACACGGGGGTGTGTGTCGTGAAGGGAAGCCCCCAGGTCCTCGGCACGCATTCCAAGTCATCACTGTTGCCTCCAGGGTTCAGAAGCGAGGCTGGATGTGAACTCTGACGCATGGGGTGCAGGCGTCCGGCCAGGCTGCTGCCTTGCGGGGCAAACTGCTCTCCCAGCCGAGTCAGTTTAAAAAGCAAGTAGGGGCTGTCAGCCTGGGGTCCACCTGCCAAGCAGAGTTGGGAGGTGGGTGGTAGAGACTGGTGGACTGCGGCTGCAGAACGCCGACCTGCCGACCTGCTGGGCGATGTGGCTAAGAGAAGCCCAGGGCAGCAGCAGGGAAAGCAGCTGGCCACAGTCCAGAGCCAGGGCTGTGCCGGCCCCAGCACGTGCAGCCAGGTGCTGAGCTGAGCAGGAGGCTCTGTGCTGAGAGGTGGGCACGGTTGCCAGCACAGGTGGGAAGCCCCACTCTTCATCCCTGCTGCGTCACTTCCCAGGATGTGTTCTAATTCTGCACCTGGTTGTGACAAACGACCAAGGTACAGAGTGGCTGCTGGAGTATTGCCCACAGCTCTGTGACTTCAGACAGCTGTGCCCAGTGGCTGGTGGCAGAGGTCAGGCACTGCTTGGCGCCGAGGGTTTACGCGGCACTTCCCGGGTTATTCAGGATGCTGTGCCCTGCCTCTTGTCTGCCCGGGTGGGATGTGTCCACATGGGCAGGTGTAGAACATCGGGCAAGCTTGAGCACAGGAATGTGTTGGAGGGGTGGGGGCTGTGAGGTCCCAGGAACTTGCCTTCCTTAAGCAGGGAGGGGCCGGTGCAGGAGGCACTGAGCGCTGAGCGCCAGCATTCCTGCCAGCCCTGGATGGGCAGGTGGGAGGACACCCAGTGATGAGCGACTCCACCTGCCCCTCCCCTGCTCCCTGCGTGCCCCTCCCCTGCCTAAGCCATTCACAGTCTGCCCATCTCAGCTGGAGCAGAAGGTGGCTGAGGTTTGCCTGCTGGGCTGGCCCTCGCTTCTCCCCCTACCCCAGTGTGCTGAGGAGACCAAGTGTAGGGCAAGCAAGGTTGTTCCGCTGAGTTAGCGTTACTCAAAGAATGGGGTGTGTGAGTGCACACCATGTATAGGGCTGCGAGACACAGCAGAGGGGGGAGACAGCCCCACCCTCAGGGGGGACACAGCCCTGCCCTCAGGGGGACACAGCCCTGCCCTGGAGGGGGGACACAGCCCTGCCCTCAGGGGGACACAGCCCTGCCCTGGAGGGGACACAGCCCTGCCCTCAGGGGGGACACAGCCCTGCCCTGGAGGGGACACAGCCCTGCCCTCAGGGGGACACAGCCCTGCCCTGGAGGGGACACAGCCCTGCCCTGGAGGGGACACAGCCCTGCCCTCAGGGGGGACACAGCCCTGCCCTGGAGGGGACACAGCCCTGCCCTCAGGGGGGACACAGCCCTGCCCTCAGGGGGACACAGCCCTGCCCTCAGGGGGACACAGCCCTGCCCTGGAGGGGGGACACAGCCCTGCCCTCAGGGGGACACAGCCCTGCCCTCAGGGGAAGCTCAGAGTAGTCTCCTCTTGTCCTTGCGGACAGACACTCTTGGCACAGTCAGGTAACCTGGGGATGCTCCCTGGCCAGCCGCTGTGATGGGCCCTACAGCCCCAGATCTGCTATGTGCATGGCCCATCAGTGAGCCTCACCTCCCTGTCTGCAGCTGTGCCAAGCGCCCAGCAAAGGCTGCCCACACCCTGCAGGCCTGTCTGTGACCCCCGCTCCAAGGGGCCGGGGGAGCAGGCTTTCTGACCAGCATGCCATTATGCTAGGCCCTTTTCTTTAAAAAGGAAAAATTCTTATTTATTTGGTTGAAAGGCAGAGTTATAAGAAAAGAAACAGGGCCCAGTGCGGTACCCTAGGATCCCATATGGGTGCTTGTTGTAATCCCAGCAGCCCCACTTCCCACCCAGCTCCCTGCCTGTGGTCTGGGAAAGCAGTTGAGGACGGCCCAAAGCCTTGGGACCCTGCACCTGCGTGGGAGACCCGGAAGAGGCTCCTGGCTTCGGATGGGCTCAGCTCCACCATTGTGGCCCCCTGGGGACTGAATCAGCAAATGAAAGATCTTTTTCTCTGTCTCCTCTCTGTATATCTGACTTTCCATTAAAATAAGTAAATCTTAAAAACAAGGCACTTCAATGACAAGCTGACAAGTCAGTTTTGAGACTCAGGTAGAACGTGGAATGTTAAGACTCCAGTTAAACACCTTCGGGTTGTAAGAGCTGCCGTGGGCCTCGTGAGTCTCATGTTTGCAGCCTGGCGCCTCGCGGCACGTGTGGCACCAGGAGCAGCTGAGGGAGGAGCCGTCTTGGCCAGGCAGCTTCTCAGTGCACTTGTTCCTCTGTTATTTCAGGTGGCCGCCAGGCTCAGGAGCAAAGGGCTCAGAGGAGCGTCATGACTGTCCCTGGGGAGAAGCGTCCTGAGAATGGGGTAAGTGCCGGGTGCTCGCGGGGGCTGCTGACTGTTGGAGTCCCAGTGGGTGGAAGGGCTCATCCTGCGGTGTTGTGGACACGGAGCCTGCTGTCGCCCTCTGCGTTGCAGCCCCTCCTGACCTGGGACTGAGGGTGACAGTGGTGGTCCTGTGGGAGCAGGTGGCCATTTGAAGCCCAGGAACTGACAGGCTGATGGGGCACCTCTCAGTGCTAACCTCCCAAGGACGAGTGGGTGCTGTGGGTGCTGAGGCCGTCTGCTGAGAGCTGCCGGGGAGGGGAGGGGACGGGGGCGGGTTGCATTGGCTCAGGAGAAGCGCCCGCAACTGGGGCAGCTCAGGCAGCTCAGGCAAGCACTGCTTCCAGTCCCGGCTGCCCCACTGCCCCGCTGCTTCCAGCTCCTTGATCCCCCTGGGGAGGCAGCCGAGGGTGGCCAGGGGTGTGGGCACCTAGATGGAGCTCCTGGCTCCTGGTCTCAAACTGGCTGTCTCTGCTGTTTGAATAAACGGCAGTCTGGCACACTCCCCCCCACCCCCGCCAAAAAAAAGTTGGCAGTGGAGAAGCAGCTCCCATTGTCCGTTTGGGTGGGTTGGGGGGGCGTCAGGAGAGGGTGTGGGGCTCATGGGTGGGGACGGTGAGCAGGAAGGGGCGCTTTAGTCCAGCTCTGCTCTCATGTTTCAAATAATTTGGAGTCTGAAGGACTAGTTGGCTTGGTTCTCTGGTCTTCTGTGAGCTAGGCATATCGCCTTGGGCTGGTCACATGGTTGCCCATGCCAGCTGGGCACAACGGGGGCACAGTGGGGAGCACAGAGTCAGCCAGGTGAGGCACAGGGAGCTCCCTGGTGTCACACCCCACTGCGGAGTGTCAGCAGGTCCCCCCTCAGTGTTGGTGAGACACCGGCCTGCTGACCTCTGGGTGACATGAGGACAGGAACCCCCTCCTGCATCCCTGCTGGGCCAGAGCCTTCTGCTGGCAGGATGCCCTTATCTATTGGCAGGCGTGGGTGGCCGTGACGCAGAGGGCTCAGTGGTGTAGCTCTTGTCCACCGCGAGGCCGTGTGCTAATGCTGGGGCCACTTGAGCAGGAATACGCTTCCTAGTTTTCTTTGCTTATGATCATCCTCTTGGCCCTCACCCCGCCTGCTCACGGGCTTGTCTGCTCTGCAGCGGAGCCCTGATCCGGAGCCGTGAGCAGCTGAGCCCCTGGCCCCACGGGGCTGTTCCCCCCGTCCCGGGCCTGTGTGGCCCCAGCAGGTTGGACACTGGAGGCCACAAGTGTGCAGGGCAGTGAGCATGCAGTACATGCTGCACCCAGAATCCCCCTTTGGCTTCTGGGAATTTTCGCTGTCTGAAACAACTCGAGCAGGTGGTCTGTTGGCGTGGGCTGCTGTGTGTGGTTCTGCACGGCCCAGAAGGAAGGGGGCCACGGGGCCGCTGGTGGACCAGCCGTGGGGTTGGGCCCAGTTTGGTTGATGAGTCAGGTTCTTCTTTGATGAAATGGTTTCTTGTTAATGTGGAGCTCATGTGTGCGTTGCAGCTCAGCAAAGCTGGGGGCAGAGCACGAACCGGCTTTGTGGCCTTCACGTGAGCTTGCGATCTCAGGAGCTCCGGTGCGGCAGGCAGCACACGCCTGCCCGAGCTTGCGGCACCTGGTCTGGCCTAATCCTTAGTTCTGTGTGTACCCTTCAGCTGGTCCGGAGCCCAGCTAATACAGGGCTGAGCAGCATGAGGGACGCTCACAGATGTGTGTGTCTGCCCGCGTGCAGCGCCCCCCCACCCCCGCACTGTGTCGCACGCAGCGGCCCGTGTCTGTGGACAAGGCAGCAGGTAGATGGAAAAGGACGACGATGCACAAGGTGTGGCAGGGCTCACGGTTGGTTGGTTTGTTCAGGTTCGTGGTCCATAGCGTCTCTCCGTAGGCCCTGGGACAATGGGAAGGACCCTTCCCATGAGGCACCCTACGTCAGGCTGCGAGTGGGCAGGGAGGGGCCCCGGAGCACCACAATGCCATCCGCAAGCTGAGTTGGGGTCTCTTAGGTGCCCGGCCCCACCCCTCCCTGTTGCTCCTAGGTTCAGGGTTGGCAGAAGGCCATCATGTGCCCAGACACGGTACGGAGCGCCTGGGGAGGGACGTGTAGCCTTGCGATCACAGGTTCCCTGGAAGACGGTAGGCGTGCTGAACTGTGGCTGGGCCGCAGCCAAGGGCCCCCACCCCGGCTGGGCACAGAGCCCGGTTTGCAGCCCCGCACTGTTCTGAGGGTGCTGGGTGCCCAGCATGGCCTCGGTGCCCACTGCCCAAGCCCAGCATCCACCCCGGGCTTGTCATGATGCCAAGAGGGCAAAGTGCAGTCCGTCTCTGCTGTTGCTCTGAGGTGGACCCTGATGCAGGCCCCAGGGACATGGCTGCACTCCTCCGCATCCCAGGGACATGCCCTCCTGTCAGAGGTGTCGGTTCTTTTCTTACGAAGCAGCAAGTGTGTGCAGAAGTCCCAGGCCAGGCGTGGGGGCGGGACGAGACACAGTGCTCGTGTGTGGCAGGGCAGGCTTGTACCTGAAGGACACGGCAGGCTCCGAGGAGCACAGCAGTGCGACAGGGCGGCCTGTGGGAAGCCCCAGCCAGGCCTGGGCTCACAGGGCAGCACTGGGCAGCATCTGCATGGGCTGTCGCTGAGCCTGCCTGCTGCTCACTGCCCTCGGAGTTCAGCGCTGAGACACGGGGTGGGGGGCTGGCACCCAGGGCCGTGCTGTGGCTGCTGTGTGTCCCTCAATTTTGGGCAGCCCTGTTCTAAAGTAGACGATGAGATTCCGTGCAGGCGGAGGCGTCTCGCGCAGTACCTGGTGTGCGTGCTCAGCGCCAGGGCCTCCCAGGGGCCACTTGGGGTGCTGTCCAGCCCTGGGACCCCTGCGGAAGTCATGGCATGGGGTCGTGTGCTCAGCGAGTGGCGTCTGTGCCCTGCAGGCTGGAAATGCACGTGTTGAGCTCACCCTCTCGGAACTCCAGGACATGGCGGCCAGGCAGCAGCAGCAAATTGAGAACCAGCAGCAAATGCTGGTGGCCAAGGTCAGTCATGGGGCAGGGCAGGGCTGTCCCCAAGCAGCGCCCACTGTAGGGCCAACATGGAGTGCTACGTGGGCACTGAAGCTTCACAGAGCTGAGATGAGCGGTACGGAGCACACGCAGGACCAAGCCCAGTAAAGTCTGGCCCGACGGGGTCCCTGCCGGCACCGCACTGGCTCGGACTGAGCTGGCATTGTTAGGGTGCCTGTCTACGGTCTGTCCAGCTCGCATGCAGTCATTCTAGAATGACCAAACTGAGAAGCAGACCTAGGTGGCGGGTGGCCCCTGCCTAGTGAGAGCCGCAGCCACCCTGGCAGTGCGTGGGCCTGAGGAGCTGCGCGTGGCTCACAGCTTTGCGGGAGCATTGGAGAAGCCTCAGAAGCAGTTCAGCCCATGAATGAGATCTGAGACAAAACCGCACAGCGCGATGTTATGTTGTGCTGTGTAATTTCCTTTCCAAACACAGATGCAAATATTGTTGTTTTTAAAATTGACATCTTCAGTGATGCAGAACCCAAGTTAGTGGGAAGTCTCCACTGCACCACCTCCCAGGGCTCGCCCCTCGCGCTCTGGCTGGTTGGAGCCCTCCTCCTGGAGGTGTGTGTGCGGAGCACAGATGGGACCATGTGCTGAGCACGCATTCTCACTCATGGGAAAGCTGGCAGTACTGCACGGGCTGGAAACACTTCATGATTTTCTTATGAACTGCCCCGGCAGGAGCCGTCCACCCCAGGGCGGGCCAGGGCGTGAGGAGGGGGTTCTGGGACACCGTTGCGTGTGGGCAAGTGTGTCCCTGCTGGGTACATGGAAGCATGCAGGCTCGCCCCAGCTCATACTCGGGTGCACCCCGTCTGATGTTTTGTAGCACACACGGGCGGGTGCGTGTGTTGGAGTTACAGGAGACGCACCTCTGTGTCGTGGCTGATCCTCATGTTCTGTCTCCTGTTAGGAGCAGCGGCTGCATTTTCTGAAGCAGCAGGAACGCCGCCAGCAGCAGGCTCTTTCTGAAAATGAAAAGCTGCAGAAGCTCAAAGAGCGAGTGGAAGCCCAGGAGAACAAGCTCAAGAAAATCCGAGCCATGCGTGGGCAGGTGGACTACAGCAAGCTCATGAACGGCAACCTGTGTAGGCAGCGTGTCCGCGTCGGGGACGGGCGGGTTCTGTGACGTGTCCGCGTCGGGGACGGGTGGGTTCTGCGAGACTGCCCTGGCCATCTATGGAGGGCTTCCCTCAGGCCAACCACAGCTATTGGGCAGTCAGTGCCCGCGTGGACAGCCTGCGGGGCTCCGGAGGTGCGGGTGCGGGCTGTGCAGGCCACCTCCCGCTGACGGACTGTGTTGTTGGCCGTGGCAGCTGCTGAGATCGAGCGGTTTAGTGCCATGTTCCAGGAGAAGAAGCAGGAAGTGCAGACGGCAATTCTGAGGGTTGACCAGCTCAGTCAGCAGCTGGAAGACTTAAAGAAAGGCAGACTGAACGGCTTCCAGTCACACAATGGCAAGCTGCCGGCCCCAGCCGCAGTGGAGCTGAAGAGGTTGTACCAGGAGCTGCAGGTGAGTGAGTGTGCCAGCGGCCCTGGGCACTGCCCTGCAGGTGACTGCAGTGTGCCAGGGACTGCCTGGGGCCTCCCTCCACTGGGGACTCTGTCCAGGTAAGAGAGTGGACTTGGGGTCCAGCTCTGAAGATGCTGCTCATTACTGGCATCTCTGTTGAAGCGCCTGGTCCCGGCCCCCCACCATGGCACATCATGGTGGCAGCCAGTGGCACCCCGTAGGACTCCACCTGGCCCAGCCCCGCCAGGAGACCCAAAGGCTGCAGTTGCGGGGTCATGGGTGGCACAGTCTCACCGCCTTGTCCCAGACATGGACCCACCATGCTCAGAGTCCTATAGTCCCCCCACTGGCAGTGGGCCCCTGACCTCCTGGGCACCCAGCCATCGCAGCAGGGTGCTCTGTCGTGCAGATCCGAAACCAGCTGAACCAGGAGCAGAACTCGAAGTTGCAGCAGCAGAAGGAGCTGCTGAGCAAGCGCACTGCGGAGGTGGCCATGATGGACCGGCGCATTGGCGAGCTGCGAGAGCGTCTCTACGGGAAGAAGGTCCAGGCAAGTAGCAGACCGCGCCGGGCGGGTATAGGTACCTAGAGAGGGAAGACAGCTTCCTTCTGCTGGCTCACTCCCCAGAGAGCTGCAGCAGCGGGCAGGGCACGCGCAGGCCAGGAAGTCCACCCTAGTCTCCCCCGTGACTGCAGGGGCCTGAGCACTCCCAGGCCAGGAGCAGGTCAGGGTGGAGTAGCCCGTCAGCCCTGCCCTCCCTGACTCGGGTCCTGCTGACTTGGGACATGTGCCAGAGTGCCTGCAGGGGCGAGGGGTTCCGCTGCACTGGGGGGCCTGAGCCAGCCAGGCGAGTGGGTCAGGTGGCCAGCTAGCAGGGACACTTGTCTTTCCCCTCCCTCTGCTCAGGGACACAGTCTGAAGGACAGGACTCGTGAGGATGTCCCAGCTGGGCAGCGGGCATAGGGGCCCATGGTGTCACGCATAACTGGGCCATCCTAACTCTGGTTTTTTCTGGTCTGCAGCTCAACCGTGTGAATGGCACATCGTCGCCACAATCACCCCTGAGCACATCTGGCAGGGTCGCCGCTGTAGGGCCCTACATCCAGGTCCCCAGTGCTGGGACCTGCCCTGTGCCTGGGGACCCGGTCAAGCCCCAGTCCCTCCCTGTGGCCGCCACTGCTGCCCACGGGCGGCCCAAACCCGGTGAGTGAGCCTGGCTCACAGGCTGCACCCCCCACCCCGTGGCAACACGTGTCTGAAACAAGCATGCTTTTCCAAGCCGAGGGGCTCCACTGGGTACTTACCAACCCCAGGAGCTGCCGGTGTGGCCTTCTAGTGGCACCCATGGGCCAGGTCTGCTCATCCGACACAGGCCTGGCCATGTGGGTTCTGCCTGCCTGCCTGAGTGCCAGCCCACTCGGCCTGCTGCTGTGGTTTCTAACCAGCAGGAATGGCGTACTGCAAGGGGTGTTTATGGCCACAGCACACTGCTGTGGGGCACGCAGTGCCAGGGGCTGTATCCCAAGGACCACCAGTCTGCTGTGCTCTGAGTGCCTGGTCCTGCTGGTGCTCCCGGGCTTGCCAGGGACCCAGCAGAGGGAGAGCACCCCAGCAGAGCCTGGCGCCCCACAGTGGCTTGGCGTTAGGCTCCTGCCATGAGCTGCTGCTGTGCAGTCTTTCAGTTTCCCATCTGCTGGTTTGCTGCCCTGTGGTGGCAGCTGCCGGCTGGGCAGGCCGAGGCCAGGAGCTGAGCTAGCAGCTCTCTCTCCAGGGTGGCACACAGCCAAGTGCTGGAGCTGTTGCCATGGCCTCCCAGAGCCGAGGCCTGACCTCGGGCACTTGGCCGTGGGACAAGGTGCCCCAGGCTCCTCCTAGGCACCCTGACAAATGCCTACCCATTCCACTTGGACTCTGTTCCTTTTTTAAAAGGAAACAAAACAACAAAAAAAGGAACTATTTGAAAGACCGAGTGACGGAGTGAGTCCTCCATCCCCTGGTTCACTCCGTGAAGCACAGTAGCCTTTGCTGGGCTGGAGGGACTTCCCCAGCTCGGGGAAGCTGGGACCCAAGGAGGCCCTCTGTGGGATGCGCCTCAGCAGCTGCCGTGCGGCAGACTCTCTTCTTCAGAGGTCAGGTGGTCAGTGACTCCCCTCTGACTCAGGCCACAACCTGTGCAGCTCATGGCGTCTTCTGGAGCCTTCCTGTGCCTGCTGGGATGTGGAGCTGGGGCAGGAGGTGCCAGGGGGATGTTCACCCCTGCCGTCCGCCATCCGGTTCTGTCACACAGATGACCCCAGCAGACCCAGAGCGAGCAGCACGTGGACAGTGTCAGACCTCGACGTTGGGCCGGGCGGCTCCCCGAGGCGCTCAGCCAGCCTGGCACCGAACCGTATGTGGGCAGCCGGGCTGGGGCGCACGCGCTCCTGGGATGCGGACCAAGTCGGCAATCTCGGTTTTCCAAACTGCCAAAGGTCTGCTCGCCCGCTGCCTGCGCCTGGCCCTGGGCACAGGTGTGCAGCTGGGCCTCGTGCCCACAGGCGCAGTGTGGGAGTGGGATGGTTTTCATCTGCCCACGGCAAAGACGAGCGCTGCTGGCCCTCCACTGGGATGACCCCTTGGCCCAGCCCCCTTTGCAGTCTGGAACCCGGAGCAGCCCTGTGATTCCTCTGGAGGCGCAAGCTTGGGGCTGGCTGCTCCCTCCTGCCGCCCTGGTGGTGGGCTGTGGAACCACAGGGCCTGGAGCCCCTGGGAGCTCCGCTCCCTCGTGATTGTGGGAGTGGCACGGATCAGGAAGAGAATCACTGCAGTCACCCCGTGGGCATGGAAGGTGCTGGGAAGGCTGTGCGGGGCCTTGCCCTGCCCGTGGGCTGATGGCTTGCTGGGCCGCTTGCTGCTGGTGCCACCCCAGGCAGTGCTGGCTCTGCTGTTCCCAGAGCTCATTTCAACCCTGTGTTCTTTCAAGCTCATGATGGAAACTGGCCAACCCTGAAGCAGAACGCTGGCTCTACAGGGAAACCAGCCCCGACGGCCGGAGTGGACTGGAAGGACCCAGGCGTGGAGGGCGCTCCAAAGCAGGGCACCATTTCCAGCCAGCCCCTCCCCCTGTCAGCGCTGGGAGCCCCTGAGAAGCTGGTGGGTACCTGTGCCCAGGGCCACGGGGCATGTGTGCCCTGCAACTGCTCAGGGCAGCGTGCTGACCGCACTGTTTCCTTCCCACACTCCTCCAGGGTGTTGAGATCGGCAAGGCGCCGCCTCCTGTCCCCGGCCTGGGCAGGCAGCTGCCACCCAGCTACGGGGCATACCCTAGCCCTCCGCCCACAGCTCCAGGGCCAACAGGCTCCCTGGAGAGGAGGAAGGAGGGCAGCCTGCCCCGGGCTGGCACCAGCACTGCAGGGTGGCAGAAGCCAGTCTCGCTGCCTCCGACTGCCAGTGCACCCCCGCCGGGCTCCTCGCAGCAGATCCAACAGAGGATTTCCGTGCCACCCAGCCCTACATACCCGCCCACAGCCCCGCCTGCCTTCCCGGCTGGCGACGCCAAACCTGAGCTGCCGCTGACTGTAGCTATCAGGCCTTTCCTGGCTGATAAGGGGTCAAGGCCACAGTCACCCAGGAAGGGCCCCCAGACCGTCAACTCCAGCTCCATCTATTCCATGTACCTCCAGCAGGCCACGCCCCCCAAGAATTACCAGCCAGCTGCACACGGTGCCGCGAACAAAGCCGTGAAAGCAGGTGCGAGGGCCTCAGCTCCTGGGGAGGACAGCCGCCAGTGTGTCCCCGTGCTCTGGGCCACGAGCTTCTTAGGGCTCCCAAAATGTTCAGGCCAGCATAGGATGGGAGATGAGGCAGTAAGGAATGTGGGCCTGTCTGGCTGGGTCCCCAGCTCCTGTGCATAACCCTAGGGTGCTGTCCCCGTCTGTCCTGAGCTTTGCTGTGGCTTCTGGGACTCCGCGGGGCGCCTGGCTTCCCGGGCCCAGGGCTGGGTGGCGAGTGTATGGGGTCAGGGAAGTAGGCCTACCTTTTATCCAGGAAAAGCCCCACTTAGGGCCTCAACGGGAAGACCGGCCGTCTCCCCACCTCAGAGGGAGGGGCCTGCAGGAGCGCTTAGGGAGGGGTGCAGAGCACTCAGCGCCGCCTTGGTGTCTCCCCTAGTGTATGGGAAGCCAGTGCTGCCGTCAGGGTCCACCTCGCCCTCCCCACTGCCATTTCTTCACGGGCCGCCGGGCACAGGTGCACCCGGAGCGCAGCCCCCGCCGCCCCCGGAGTGTGTCGAGAAGGAGCCGGAGCCAGAGGCGCCTGTACCCGCTGGGGAGGCCGGCGCAGTGGAGAGCCTGCCCCGGCCGCTGAGCCCCACCAAGCTTACACCCATCGTGCACTCGCCGCTGCGCTACCAGAGCGACACTGACCTGGAGGCCCTGCGCCGCAAGCTGGCCAACGCGCCCCGGCCGCTCAAGAAGCGCAGCTCCATCACAGAGCCTGAAGGCCCCGGCGGGCCCAACATCCAGAAGCTGCTCTACCAGCGTTTCAACACGCTGGCCGGTGGCATGGAGGGTGCCCCGTTCTACCAGCCCAGCCCTTCACAGGACTTCCTCGGCACCCTGGCCGACGTGGACAACGGTAACACCAATGCCAACGGCAACCTGGAGGAACCGGGCCCGGCCAGGCCCACGGCCCCGCTCCCTGAGGAACCTGCCCCATCATCCGATGCCAATGACAATGAGTTACCTTCCCCGGAGCCCGAGGGGCTCATCTGCCCCTCGGCCATCCCCCCCACGGCAGAGCCGGCTGAGGACGACAACAACAACGTGGCCACAGCCCCCTCCACAGAGCGGGCCCCCAGCCCTGTGACCGAGGCCCCGTTCCCAGCTGAAGAGCAAGCGCCCGGCCCCTCTCAGCCCCCCGTCGTCCACCTGCCTGCAGCCTCCACGGTGGGTACCCATGCCCTCCTGGTCATCACGCCGCCAGGCATAGGGGACCCAGGGCATGAGGGAGTGCTGCTGGGACCTGCAGGACAGACCAGAGGAAGGCTCCCCCGCCGGGAGCTGTGGGTTGTGAGTGCGGCTTCCTGTCAGGCGAGGGGGCGTCACTGCCCTGTCCTGGGCTACTTGTGGGGGTGGCTGGCCCAGCTACAGTGGAGCCTGTTGTTCTTGCCCAGTGCTCTGGGAAGCAGCAGGCTGCCCTTGCCCACCATGGTCAGCACTCCCTTCTCCCAACCACAGGGCAAGCGGACCAACCTGAAGAAGCCCAACTCGGAGCGCATTGGCCATGGGCTACGTGTGCGCTTCAACCCCCTGGCCCTGCTCCTGGACGCGTCCCTGGAAGGAGAGTTCGACCTGGTTCAGAGGGTCATCTACGAGGTGAGCTGCGGGCCCCACACTGGTGCCCGGGGCTGGGCAGGCTCTCACGGGCCCCGTGTCCTGTGTCCTAGGTGGAGGACCCCAGCAAGCCCAACGACGAAGGCATCACCCCGCTACACAATGCTGTCTGTGCAGGCCACCACCACATTGTCAAGTTCCTGCTGGACTTCGGGGTCAACGTCAATGCCGCCGACAGTGATGGCTGGTGAGGGCAGGGGTCGGGTGGGGTGCATGGCCACAGAGGGCCTGTGGGTGGGTGGGCAGGGGTGGGGGTACACAGCCACAGGAGGGCCAGTGCAGCTTTCCGCCCTCCTCCCTTGGCACCCAGCGAGTGTCCTTCCTAGTCACTGCCTTCCCCTCCCTTGCCCGTTGTGCTTGCAGGACCCCACTGCACTGCGCCGCATCCTGTAACAGCGTGCACCTGTGCAAGCAGCTGGTGGAGAGCGGCGCAGCCATCTTTGCGTCCACCATCAGCGATGTGGAGACAGCGGCAGACAAGTGCGAGGAGATGGAGGAGGGCTACCTGCAGTGCTCCCAGTTCCTTTACGGTGCGGGTGGGCCGTGCGCAGGGCTGGGCGCTGAGGGAGGTGTACTCGGCAGCCACAAGCTGCTCATGCCAGAGCCTGGGCACCTGAAGGGGCAGGGCCAGCTGAGGCTGCTGGGCGAGGCCCTCCAAGCCACTGGGCCTCACAGGGCACACACCCGTGTGGTGGGGAGACTCGAGGGCCACCCTGGGGTGCCCCTGGCAGCTTGTGGCTGGCTGATCAGGGATTGTTCACCTCGGGCCCAGGCCACAGTGACGCAGCAGCCGGGACTCGGGCTCCCCCAGCTGAGCCCCCTGTTGCTGTCTGGCCTCAGGTGTGCAGGAGAAGCTGGGCGTCATGAACAGAGGTGCAGTCTACGCCCTGTGGGACTATGAGGCCCAGAATAGCGACGAGCTGTCCTTTCACGAAGGGGACGCCCTCACCATCCTGAGGCGCAAGGACGAGAGTGAGACCGAGTGGTGGTGGGCTCGCTTCGGGGACCGGGAGGGCTACGTGCCCAAGAACCTGCTGGGGGTAAGCACGCCTGAGGCTGGGGACCCGCTGGGGCACCTCCAGGCTGCACTTGTGCTTGCCCAGTTTCTTAGCCCTGGGGTGGGGGGGACCCCGGCAAGGAAGGCGGGCTGGCGGGCTGACCAGTCCCTGGTTTAAGGGGGCAGGAAGGGTCTTGGGGTGCCTAGTGCCCACTCTTGACACAGCTCCACCCATCTGTACCCAGCTGTATCCACGCATCAAGCCCCGGCAGCGGACGCTAGCCTGAAGCCTGCTGGAGGGCACAGCAGGGTCGCCGGTGAGGACGGCACCCACTCTGCCACTGGCTGCCTGGCCCCCACAGGCCCATAACTTGGAGAGACTGGAGTTTGCCAATTATTGTAAATCCAAATAAACACTCAGCTTCCCAACACCTCCCCGATCTGGCCCCATGGTAGGTGTTACCCCATGCCCAACCCCCACAGTGCTGACTCCTGCCCTCACCAAAGGAGCCGTGGCCCCTGGCCACCCTACATGACCACCTGCGGCTGCCTACACTGCCCCAGTGCCCCAGGACACATTTCTGTCTCCTCTGGGCGCCCAAGCACAGCCAGGTCGGGGTCGAGCAGGGTGCTCACTGGAGGCTGGTGTGCTCGTCCGGGCTTTTATATACCAAAAGTGGTTTTAGCCAGATGGTTTGAACCTACCAGAATGTGCTGGAATGCTCTTCCCATTAAACGCAGGACCCAGGCTGTGTCTCCCTGTGAGTCTTGGGTACAGACCTGCTGTGTGCCGTCTGGCCCTGTGGCCACTCCCACTGTGGCCACACACCTCGAGGTCAGAGGCCCCAGCCATGGCCAGCGACCCCAGAAGCCACAACAAGCTCAGATGCCACAAAGGCTGTGGCTGGGTGCTGCACATCGTGTTCCAGGGAGAACCACAGCAGATGGAAGCGAGCCTGACCCGGGCTTTGGAAATGGGTTTAATGGTAAAGCACCACACACAGGCCATGCAGTGTGTGGGGAAGAGGAAGCCGGCGCTGCTTCTGGAGCGAGGCAGCAGTGGCCCATGTGGACACTGCTTGGGCTGGAGCCTCCTTGGACACCTGGGAGCACGCTGACTCCTGGGGCAGCTGGCGCGCAGCCCTGCAGTCCAGCCCAGGAGGCTGCAGCTCATGTCACCCCGGAGTGCAGGTGTGGTTCACGTCGGGGTCACTGCTCCCGAGACTCATGCAGTAGTTTGGCGGCCTGCAGGGGGATTGGGAGTTACCTGGCAGGCATGCCCACTGCTACATCTGTCATAGCCCAGCCTGTGGCCAGGCACCCCTCTACCCCTTGGCCAGACAAGGGGGACTGTTGCTTGGAGGCAAGAGCCCCCTGCTGGTCATAATACCTTGTGCATGGCTGCCAGCCAGGCCACTGCCTGCCTCCTGCTGGCACTCGAGTCCTCCTTGGCCATCAGCTTCAGCTGGGTCACACACGCCTCTCCTGGCATCGTGTACTGCAGGGACATGCCTGTGGCCCGTGCGCTGGCTCCTGCAGGGCAGGATGGTACACATGAATCCCGGGCCCAGGCCAGGGCTCTGAGGATGCCATAGGGCCCAAAGCCTGGGTAGGCAGAGCCATGCCACTGCTCAGTCCATGAGAGGCTCAGGCGGGCATCCCCTGAATACCACACACCCACGGTGGGGCTGACAGGAGCCTGTGGCCACTCCCACAGACGGCCTCCCCGTGGCCAACTGCTGTCCTAGCTCGACAGCAGGAAGGAAAGCAGCACTTAGAGCAGACCTCAGTCATGTGGGTCTGGGCGGAAGCAAGGGCTGGCGTGTGCAGTGCAGGAGCTGGCAGGCTCTGTAGGGACACTGGCCACAGCAGGCTGGCTTGGGCTCTCCCACCTTGGAACCCCTGTGCTGCGATGGCCCCACTAGGCTGGGGAGCAGGACAGGCCTCAGGCCCAGCTGGCAGTTCTAGTGCCAGGAAACACTGGTAGAGCGCGGAAAGACAGGCTCCAGGAACCACCCACACTGGCATGAACAAGCACGCTGTGTCCACAGTCCATGGGCTGGCAGCACAGCTGGGGACAGCTGGGATACATGGAGGCCACGGCCAGAAGGGCTGCGTGTCCAGGCTCAGGAAGAGGCCGCCTAAGGTGTCCCCGAGGCTGAACCTTCCTGGGCACCAGGCACCTTTAACCAGTGCCTGTGGGCCTAGGCAGCCACTGGGGGAGCATCATGTGGCGAGAGGTACCCAGTGCTGCCAGGACCCTGCACCCCTGGGCTCTGCGCCCCAAGCATTGCCCAGTGTCTCTGAAATCACCCACAGGAGCTTCCCACGGGCAGCAGTGGAGGGTGCAGCACAGCGTGCTGGGGAGGGCAGTGGGCAGCCCAGGAGGTGCTGCCTAGTGTGGAAGCCAGTGCAGAGACAGATGGCACTGGGTGTTCCGCGTGCCCCCTCGAGGAGCCCCGGCTCCATCTGCTCACCTGGGGGGAAGCCTTCAGCGAGGGTCCGCACGGCGGACACGTGTGCAATCTCAATCTCACGGTGGCTGTCCCCGTCCAGCAGCAGGTACCTGCACACACAGGCCAGGCTCAGCAGGCACGGGGGCCACTGTGGTGGGCACCACGGGCACCCACACCCACCTCTGGTTGCCGGACAGACGACAGACCATGGTTTCCGGCTTCTCCGAGTTTCCAAAAGTGACCAGGAAGGTGGCTCCTTGGGGACCAAGACTCCATGAGGACGGGGTGGGGCTGCCTCCCTGCCCCGGCAGAGGCTGCCCGCCCGGGGGACCGGCTCACCGCTCAGGAGCACCTTGAGCTGCTTGTCGTAGAACTCGGCCTCCCTGTGGGAGACCAGGGCGCAGGCCGCGCACTGCCGCACGGGGTCCACGAAGCACATGCGTCGCAGCGGCACCTTCTGGCTGCAGCACCTGTCACAGAAGCACCTCCCGCAGCGACGGCAGTGGTGCTGGGGGGCAGGGCAGTGAGGCCCAGCTCCCCAGGGAGTGCTCCCCCACCCTGCTCAGGCCCAGCCCGGCTGTGCCCCACTGCCCCCGCTGCGGCCTCAGTTCACCTTCCTGGTGATGAAGTCAAACTTGGCGTCACACTGCATGCATCGTGGGCACTAGGAGGAGAGACAGGCACGTCACTCGCCACAGGGACGCGGCGGGAGGGCAAGCACAGGGCACCGCGGTGGGCCCAAGGGGGCAAGCACAGGGCACCGCGGTGGGGCCCGTGGAGCTTGACACTGCTCTCCAGGTCAGGAATCCTCCCCAGGGCCCGTGGCTCTGCCAACAGCCCTGCGACAGCAGCGGAAGGTGCTGGGTGGGGACGCTGGACCTTCTGGCCTCATATGCGTGGACAGCGTGCAGGGCCCAAGGCAGTGGCCCTGGGGGCTCACTTCACCCAGTGCACGCCAGGCAGGCCCCGACCTGACCCAGCCGCCGGCTCCCCAGGGCTGGCCTTTCTGTATGCCCAGCAGGCCAGGGCGCTGTCTCCAGCCAACCTCAGAACCCCGCAGGGCATCTCAGCAATGCCCAGACAAAACCAAACCCTGCCAGCATAGCCTGTGCCCACCTCCTGGGTACCATGAGCTAGAGACCCTAAGGACAGACAGCCAGGCCAGGCACAGGACCCTGCGTCCACACTGGCAGCGCCCACTGTCCACACCAGCCGCCTGACTGAGCTGGGACAAGAAGGACCTGCAGGTGGCCGTGGGCCTTCAGCCACCACGGCGAGTGGTTGTGCACTTGGCACACAGACCAAGGTCAGCCCAGACCACACACACACCCACACACCCGTCCCCAGGGGAGCCAGGCCACAGGAAAATGCTCACTCCTGGGCCACAGCTGCCACCAGCCCTGCCAGCTCCTGGGAAGAGCCCCGCCCAGCCCTGACCGCCTCCAGGCACTGGCACCCGCTGTCTGGCACAGCCTCTCGCCTCCCTGCAGATCGTCCCAGTCAGCCTGCCAGTGTCTGCCTCCTGCAGGCAGCAGGACCACATCGCTCAAACGCCTGAAACTCCTGGGCTGGCCTCTGCCACCATGACAAGGCCAGCACTGCCACCCATGGGGACAGCCCACAGGGGCTTGCCCACTCGAGAGGAGGTCCCTGCTGGCTACACCCCAGATTCCAGATCGTCTCATTCCCTCCAGCAGTTTGACTGCTGTCTGCACTGGGAGACCAGGCCTGGCCCTCCGCCCCGGACAGTCCCTGCACCACACTGCCTTCTGCCAAGTACTGGTTCATTCCTCGCCCTCCCAGCGACAGAAGCCACCAGAAGCCATTAGAAGCCATTGGAACAGACATTCTGTAGGGATATCCAGTGCGCTGGGCCCGACGGCAGTGAATCCTTCTCCAGGACTGCCAGAGAAGAAACATCACACAGTGGAGGAGCCTGCTCCCTGCACACACACACACACACACACACACACACACACACAGTGGAGGAGCCTGCTCCCTGCACACACACACACACACACACAGTGGAGGAGCCTGCTCCCTGCACACACACACACACACACACAGTGGAGGAGCCTGCTCCCTGCACACACACACATACACACAGTGGAGGAGCCTGCTCCCTGCACACACACACACACACACACACACACACACACACACAGTGGAGGAGCCTGCTCCCTGCACACACACACACACACACACACACACACACACCCTAACTGCCATGCTAACAAAGAACTGCTTATCTTTTATTCTCTTACAATTTGTTTTTGAGTAAACTGCAAACCAACTTCTAAAATAGGACCACATCAAGAATTTAAATTTGCTCCAAATGTTTAAGTGATTCTGAAAGTTTTTTACTTTTCATGACTGTCTATTAGAGTCAGCATAGTGGCTCAACAAGCTAGTCTTCTGTGTGCAAAAGCTGGCATCCCACACGGCCACGGGTTCAAGTCCTGGCTCTTACACTTCCTGTCTGGGGAGTCACCAGCAGATGGAAAAGCCCTTTTTCTGTCTCTCCTTCTCTCTGTAATTATCAGAGAGGAGGAGACAGATCTTCATGCACTGGTTCACTCTCCAAATGGTGGCAAGAACCGACATGAGCTGATCCCAAGCCAGGAGCCTCTTCCAGGTCCCCCACGCGGCTGCAGCAGCCAGGAGCCAGGAGCCTCTTCCAGGTCTCCCATGCAGATGCAGGGTCCCGAGGCTTTGGGTCATCCTCTGCTGCTTTCCCAGGCCACAAGCAGGGAGCTGAATGGGAAGTGGGGCAGCCAGGACACGAACCAGCACCCACATGGGATGCCAGTGCCTGCAGGTAGAGGATTAGCCTCTTAGACCACCATGCAGATCCTAGAACAAATAAATCCTTCAGAAAAAGAAGAATGAACCCCAGCCAAGTGGAGCATGCACACAGACCGGGCACACAGCTGACACCTTGCTGGGAAGCAGCCACTAGGACAGAGGGTCTGCTCTGCCTCGAGAATAACTCAGCCATCTCCACCACCCAGATCCGACATCACAACCAGCCCCTCCAGAGCCCCTAGGCGGGAGGGGCCAAGGAGCTGGACTGTCGCCGGCCAGGGCTTGACACTTGGGGGCGGGACAGACAGCAGGCCCCACCCGCATCCACCTCCACAGCAATGTCTACTCACTGACCCCTTCAGAGCCAGCAGGGACATGGAAAGGGCAGCCAAGGGCTGTCATGGCGACAGGCAGGCAGTGGCCTTACTGCCCAGACAGCAGGCCCCATGGATACTGGTGTGAAAAGGCCTCTGGGAGCACTCCAGAGCCAGGCAGGTGAGGGGCCATGGGGCACAGGGAGGCAGCACTGGCTTAACCAGCATCCCATATGGGCGCCGGTTCTAATCCTGGCAGCTCTACTTCCCATCCAGCTCCCTGCCTGTGGCCTGGGAAAGCAGTCGAGGACGGCCCAAAGCCTTGGGACTCTGCACCCGCATGGCAGACCTAGAAGAAGCTCCTGACTCCTGGCTTTGGATCAGCTCAGTTATTGCGGTCACTTGGGGAGTGAATCAGCGGATGGAAGATCTTTTTCTCTTTCTCTCTTCCTATCTGTAAATCTTTCAATTTAAAAAGTAAATTAATCTTCTTAAAAAAGCCTTAACTCACTAATGAAGGAACCAACAGGCCATTTCCCAGCCAAAGCACCCACAGCCCATCTGAGGCGCCCGCTTCTTGCAGGGCAGGCCCAGCGGGGGCTGGAGGTGGGGAGCCCCAGCGGACAGCCAGCCCACAGCCCCGCCGGCGTCCACCCAGGAAGGCCCTGCTGCGGTTCCTGTCACTATTCACAGCATGCCCGGCCCCGCAGGTGCACCGGGCAGGTTCCGTGGAGCTCCACCTGAGTCCCCGCACGCCCAGTCCTCGCCCCCACCCACAGAGCCCAGGCTGAAGTGCACGTCCACCCGAGCAGCTCAGGGCGCGGTGCCTGCCCCCACCCGCACCTGCACCAGGTCCCCTACACCCGCACCCCGTCCCCCACACCCGCACCCCGTCCCCTACACCCACACCGGGTCCCCGCACCCCGTCCCCCTGCCATGCGGCTCTGGGGGTTCTGGGTGCGCCTCGTCCCAGCAACCACGGAGGGCCCCGGGACGCAGTGCCACCACTGACGAGAAAGGGCACAAGTCGCCCGCTTTTAAAAAGTTTTAAAATAGCTGTTCCCGAACTTATTTACTCCCGTCAAGGAGGGGACACGGGCGGGGCGCGCGGTCCGTCAGCCCGCAGGGCGCAGGGTCGGGCCCGCCGACGTACCTCCTTGTCCGGGACCCACGGCGGCTCCTCCAGGACGAACGGGCTCCCGAGGGCGCGGTGCTCGGGCACCATGCGCAGGCCACTGGGCGAGCGCACCAGCTTCTTGCCGTCGCGGCGCGCGGCCACCCCAGAGGCCATGGCGCTGCCCGGCCGCCCCAGCTGCCCGTCCCGTCCAGCCGCCCGGCCGCCCCGCCCCCCGCCCAATCGCCGCGCCAGGCCTGCAGCTCGGACCAATCGGCGCCGTGGCCCTGCCCCACCGCTGCCTGCGCCAATCCAGACCAGGACACCTCCGCTGTCAGTCTGACCGGTTACCAATCGGCTGCGAGGGCGGTCCCAGGGGCTGAGCCTTTGCATTGGCCAGCTTGTCAGCCACGTAGGCGTCGCGCCGCCTCTGATTGGCGTAGCCCGTGCCCGGCGCTCGTCGGGAAATGAAGCCTAGAGGGCGGGCCAGCGCCCGGGGCAGGGCGGCCGAGGGGCGCCGGGCGGCCGTCCTGGCCCCGAGAGGCCTGGGCCTGCGGGTGCCCCAGCTGGCGGTGAGTGCCCGGGCCGGGCTGCCTCCCGGCAGGCACCCCGCTTCCCCAGGCAGCCGCCGTCCGGCCGGGTGCGCGTCCCGGGGTGTCCGCGGCGTGCGGGGCCGGGCCTCGCCGGGAGCCCTGCCGCAGCCCCCGGAGCCCGCCCACGCCGCCCAGGACCCCCGGCCACACCCGGAGGGGCGGCTCGGCGGGACGCGTGCCCGGGGTGCCTGGAGACATGGACTTGGAGCAGCTGGACCTGCACCCCCGGATCATGGCTGCGCTCAGGAGAGGTGGGTGCGCCGTGCAGGCCGGCCTGCGTCCCTGCCCCAGCCAGCCCCTCGGGGCCACAGCTCCTGGCCAGGGCACCCTGTGGGACACCCAGATGGCACCCGAGCCCTGCCTTGGCCGAGCTGGCGTTTGGGGAGCACGCCAGCCGTGGAAGGTCCCTCTGTGTCGGTAGCTGCGAGGCAGAAGTCAATGGGGGCGGCGTGCCCAGGCAAGGCCTGGCCATCCGGTGGGCAAAACATCCCTTCCCCAGCAGCTGGCCACATGGACCAGGGACAGCCCAGAGCGCCCGAGGCTGGGGTCAGGACGCCGTGACGCCCATCCCGTGTGCCCTGCCAGCCCCGTGGGGTCCCGTGTGCAGGGCGAGAGCAGCTGGCACCTCCAGCGGACTCCCACCCGCCTGCCCTTGCTGTGGACCCATACGTCCCGGGACAACCAGGACCTGGCAAGGGCGTGCAGAGAGGTGAGGCGATCCCAGCCTGCCTGTCACCTGTCATTTCAGCCAAACTGACCTCTGTCCAGGAGGTTCTGCGCTTCTCCGGACCCGACCTGCAGAGGCTGACTGCCCTGTCCAGTCCTGACGTCCAGCACCTGCTCAAGGCTGCCTCCTTGCGCCTGCGCGGCAGCAAAGTCCTAACAGGTGGGCCATCACAGCTGCGTGGACGCCGCGTCCCCCTGCCCCGGCCGTGTGCTGTGTGGACGCCACATCCTGCCCTGGGTGCAGCCGTGCACTTGCACAGCGGTGGTGGGTGGTGGCCTCAGGCAGCCCTTGCTCCTTGGTTGCGTTCTTGGGCCAAGGCCCAGGGACACCGGCTCTAGGGCTGGGCATCCCCTCCCTGGGGTTCCAGTGTGTGAAGTGCTACCCCAGGCTACGGCCTCTGCCCTGGCAGCCTACCATGCCTGTGTCCTGGGTAGTGCCAGCCCTAGGGTTCTGGGGTCTCCAGGGCTGAGTGTAGACTGAGGCTCCCGAGCCCCATACGCTGGGCCAGCCAGCTTGCTGCCCCTGTGTCTCAGCAGGCTGCCGGGCCGGGTCCTTGTGGGTGTGGGGACACGTGTGTCCCAGCTCCTCTCGGACAAGGGGCACAAGGCCCATTTGCAGCTACCCACCTTTCTGCAGAAGCCACTCACAGGGAGGTGGGGCTGTGGGGATCTCTGCCCTGGGGACGGGGACCCGGAGAGCTGTGAGCCTTGCCTGACACCCTGCCCACAGCGCTGTGCCTGCACCGCCACCAGCACTGCTTCCCTGTGCAGCACCAGCGCCTGAGTCTGGGCTGCCCGGTGCTGGATGGCTTCCTCCGTGGCGGCCTGCCCCTGGACGGGATCACCGAGCTGGCTGGCTGCAGCTCAGCAGGGAAGACCCAGCTGGCACTGCAGCTCTGCCTGGCTGTGCAGTTCCCCCAGCGCTATGGAGGTCTGGAGGCCGGTGAGTGCCCCCCACCCTGCACAGCCTGTCCTCTGCATGTCTGTTGTCCCCATCTCCTGAACTGAGGGAAGAGGAGGCAGAGCTGGGTGTTCTAGAACATTCCATGCAGGGGAGTGAACGGCTCAGCAGGTGCTTGTGTCCAGGTGCTGTGTATGTCTGCACGGAGGACACCTTCCCCGACAGGCGGCTGCAGCAGCTCATCCCCCGGCAGGCCCAGCTGCGCGCCGACGTCCCCGCGGACGTGGTCAGGAAGATCCGGTTTGGCAGCCAGATCTTTGTGGAGCACGCCGCGGACGTGGTGAGAGTGGCACAGCAGGCGGGCATGGCTCCTGCCGAGAACAGGCATGGGCGCAGAGGAGCCTAGCAGAAGGGAGGGTGGCCCGGGGCAGACAGCTGCACAGCCCTCGGACCAGTCGTGCCCAGGCCCCGTCACTTCCAGGCAGGGAGCAGGGGGCTTGCACTGCCGACGCCCACCTGTCACGGCCCGAGCACCACTCCTGCGGGCCGGTAAGCATGGGGACCCTGGGCACCACCCCCAGCAGAGCCTCCCCACGAACGGGCCACCTATGGGACCCAGACCTGGTCCTGAGCCCTGCAGAGGTTCCCACAGGCGGGACAGGCGCCGAGGCTGCAAGGCGCGTTGCTAAGGAAGCTGGTGAAGGTGGCAAGGAGGTGGAGACGGCAAACAGTGTGCCAGGGCCCCCGGGCGCTGGCTGGGGCTGCCAGACACAGTTCCTGCAGTTACAACACCACATTCCAGTAAAGGATACGGCATATAAACTTTTAATCTTTAAAAATGTACAGTAAGATACATTATCACACACAGTAGGAAGGAGCCCGTAGCGAAGCAGAGATGGACCGTGCCTGGGTCTGCAGGCAGGGCGCCGCCATGGCCACAGCGGTCCTCTCAGCACCAGGGCCCCGCGTCACCGCCCAGCAAGCGCCTGCAGTGGGCTCCTTGCCCCCCGGCATATGTGCTGTGGCCACCACACCGGCGTGCGGGCTACTAGCTCCAGGCCCTCCGCCTCACCCCGGCAGTCATGGGGCCGGCTCCAGGCCACGCGCAGAAGTGTCAGCAGCATTCTAGAACAGGCCGGGCCAGGCTCACTGCAAGAGAAGGCTGCGGGTCAGGCGCGCCTGGGGCAGCTCAGGCAGGGCAGGCTGGTGGGCAGGTGGGGGTTCCCCCTCTGCTGCTCAGGGAGACCCCGGCCTGCAGGGCACTGCTGTGGGGCCAAGGCTGAGGCTGTGCCACTCACATTAGTGCTTGCGTCTTCCAGGCTGCCGAGGTCATCCACACACACAGGCTCGGCCAGGGACGCCCTGGGGACAAAGCACACGAATGTCCCTTAGTCCAGGCCCTGGATGTCACGGCCACTCGGCTGCAGACCGTGGCACTCAGGAGCACCCAGCCCTGCCCAGCAGGACCCAGCACTGTCCTGGGGCCCCAAGCCGAACAGCCTCGCCATCACGGCGGCTGCTGGTCAGCCATGGCGACGCTGCCACAAGGGTCTGTGGCCTCGACACCGACCGCGGGCTCTGAGCCAGGGCTGGGGGACAGTCCAAGAACGCGGAGCATACCGCAACATGAGCCCGAGTTTGGAGTTGTGGACGATGGGCCCCCAAGGCAGGCAGCAGGGGCCAGGCTAGAGGCTGCCTCCGGCAAGGGCAGTGTTGACACAGCCGGGGGTGACGGAGCCGGCAGGAGAGATGTCAGAGCTGTGAGGCCAGGGGCCAGCACAGGTCACGACCCCTCTCCCACACAGGACACCTTGCTGGAGTGTGTGACACACAAGCTCCCTGTCCTCCTGGCCCGGGGCATGGCCCGTCTGGTGGTCATTGATTCGGTGGCAGCCCCCTTCCGCTGTGAGTTCGACGTGGGGGCCTCGGCACCCAGGGCCAGGCGTCTGCAGTCACTGGGTGCAGCCCTGCGGCGGCTGAGCCACACCTTTCAGAGCCCCGTGCTGTGTGTCAACCAGGTGAGCCTGCGGGCGGGCAGGGGGCGGGCGGGGGCCTCGGGCGCTGGCCCTGACATCACTCTTACAGGTGGCAGACACGATGGAGGAACAGAGCATGGCATGGGGACCACGGGGGTGAGTGGGGAGTGGCTTAGGGCCCAGAAGGGCAGGTGGGCAAGTGGGTGCCCACATCCACGGGCATCAGGCTGGTTTCTACTCTGACAGCTCAGATGGCAGCCACGTGTGCCCAGCACTCGGCCTGGCCTGGGCCAACCAGCTCCTCATGAGGCTGATGGCAGAGAGGTTCCACGGAGCGCAAGCCATCCCCGGCCACCCGGCTCGGAGCCTGCGGGTGCTGTTTGCCCCTCACCTGCCACCCTCTTCCTGCGCCTACACCATCAGCTCAGAAGGGGTGCGGGGCACACCTGGCGTGGTGTCCAGCTAGCATCTCGCTGTGGCAGTGACCAGGGATGTCCCTGGACGCGTGTGGCTGGTGGGAGCATGCATCCACCCACTCCAGGCAGGACTGTGTGGCCACCAGACAAGCACCCTACTGAGTCGGGGGGTGTCACCTCCAGCACTTAGCATGCTGCAGACACAGTGGGGTCACCCTGGCTCCTGCCGGGCCCAGCCCTCAGCCCCCAGATGATGGATACCGTGCATGATGCCCGCCAGGCACCACTTTCAGGTGGGCTCCAGTGGCTGTCTCCCCCACACTGGAGTGGGACCCCAGATGCCACGCTGAACTCTGCCGATTCTCAAGCCCTTTGTCAGCCTGAGCAAGGACGGCCGGAGACTCGGGTGGCCTTCAGCCAACGGCCTCTGCAAAAAGCAGGGACTTGCACAGCAGGAAATAAAGCCTTTATTTTATCAACTGGCCCAGATGGTTTCCCAGGGGTGTCCTCCAGCAGGCCGGGGCCACGCAGTGTGCTGGCGGCAGCTGCCCTGGCCCAGTGTGCCAGCTCCACACTGTGCCGGGGCCGCTCGCGAAGCCTCCCTCCCTCCCACATGTTCTGGGCAAGGATGGTCCAGACTGCCACCCAGCAGTTCAAGTGCAATACACACGTAACAGACACAAGGAAATTCCCACCGCCGAGTGCAGAGTGTGGGTATTAGCAAACATGCATGCTGGGTCTTGAGTTCCAGTTGTCTCCTCAGCAGCTTTCCAGTTCCAGAAAGTAGCTGAGTCCCACCAGCAGTGAAGACCTAAGCCTGATGCCCACCGTCCGGGGAGTCCCTGTGGGCACTCCGCCACTGCCAGCTAGCTGTTCAAGCTCACCTTCCACCCCTGCTAACAGAAGCCCCGCAAGGCCTCGAGCCGTGTCCCTGGCACAGCCTGCTGCAGCAGGAAGCCCCCTCCACACGCCTTCCTGGCACCCAGCACGCAGGCAGCAGGCCCTGTGGGACACGGGCCCCTGCCTGGGCTTGTCCACCTTCCAAGTACCCTGTGCTTGCAGGGACCCACCTCCAGGGGGCAGCACGCAGCGGGCGGGGTCTGTGGCCCCTACCCTCCCCTGTGCTCCCCTCGACCCGGCGGGGTCACCGCTCAGAAACACTGCTGTGCTGCATGCTGTGTGAACAGGTGGACACAACACAGGGCTGCGCTGGGACCGTGTGGCCAGGGGCTCCTGTCGCCTGCAAAGCTGTGCAGCCCTGGGTGTCCCGGCGGGAAGGCGGCAGGCAAGTAGGACAGCGGTGGCCGTGAGCAGGGGCCGACAGGACAGGCTGCCCCTGCTGGTCCCACAGTGCCTCAAGTGCGTGTCAGCTGCCAGGGGCTACAGGATGGTGAAGTGGGCCTGGGGTGCAGCTGCCCCTTCAGCCAGCGGGCTCACTATCTAAAGGGGCGTGTGTGGGAGTGGACCAAGTCAGTGTGGCTGGCGCTCAGAGCTCTGGAGTCTGCCAGGCAGTTACTTCGTTCCTGCATGAGAGAACAAAGGCCAAGGTTACGCTTGGCACCCCAGCCGGTCCCCGACTCGCGGCCTGCAGAGCCCTGGCGGGAGAGCGACCACAGCTTCCCGGGGGCGAAGCCTGCTCGACTGGCACTGTTTCCTTAGTACAGGTTTTCCACCAAGTGTCTGAAGACCCCCGTGTGAGTGTCCAAAGCCCCACGGAGGTGGGACTCGCTAGACTGTGAGGCCTGGGCACAGTGGCTAAAGCTGTTTCCCAACGCACGCGTCTCAGCTGCTGGCCTGGGATGCTCCAGTGCTGGGGCCCTGCAAGGAGTTCCTGGCTCCGGCCCGGGCACCGCAGCTCCTGCGGCGCAAGTCGGCAGCTGCCAGATCCAGCTCTGCCGCCCCCTCTAACTCCTGAGCCCGGTCTTTAGCAGGCTCACAGCTCGCGGGAGCCCTGAGCCCAGCTGCACGGCAGCCTCGCAAGCGCCCGCCAGGTGGAAGAGGGCAAGCTGTGCGGTGCCATGCCTCGGCCTCGCAGAGACCATGCCTCGGCACGCGGTGAGGAAAGGCAGGAGGCCAAGCCTCGGGGGTGCCCGGGAGTGCGAAGGCTGGCGGAACATGAAGCCAAGCGGACACGGATGAAGACAATGGGGGAGCCACGCGTTCGTGTGGACAGCAGCCACGGAGCCTGCCTTCCCTAGCTAGCCACGCCCTGGCTTCACTCCCTCACAACACTGAGGACCCTGGGGTCTAGCTCACGCAGCCCGCTGCTACGCCACGGTCTCGGGCCCGTGGGAGCCCCGCTGGCGGCAGGCCAGGTGGCCCCGGGACAGCTCCTTACTTGCGAGCGGTCTTCGTCGGCCTTGCCTCTCAGGTTAAGAACGCTCAGAGAAGTGGCACGTTGCAGGCTGCGGCCCAGACACGGACATGCAAGGACAGACGGGCAGCGTGTGGGTCAGACGGCGACAGGATCACAAGCAAGCGTCCCCTCACACCCCGTCCACGCCCTCACAGTCCTGCTTCAGGGACTGACCCAATCCTAGGGTCCTAGGCCACGGATGCCCCGTGTCCAGCCTCGGCCAGTGCACCCCGGGGAGAGCCCCAGCAAGACACTGTCCTCGCTCCCGCTCGCGCGCCCCCTGCTGGCGTGGGCAGGCAGTTCAGCAAGGGAGCGAGCAGAGACCAACACTCGTGCACATGTTATACACTAAGGACGGGCAAGCGGCCCCTCCCCGGAAAACGCCAGGCACTTTTTAAGACTTATTTGTTTTTATTTAGAAGGCAGATCTATAGAGCAAAGCAGAAAAAAAGATCCTTCATCCACTACCATGCTCCTGAAATGGCCACAATAGCCGGAGCTGTGCCGACCCAAACCCAGGAGCTCCTTCCGGGTCTCCCACGCGGGTGCAGGGTCCCAAGGCTTTGGGCCGTCCTCCAGTGCTTTCCCAGGCCACCGCCAGGGAGCTGGGTGGGAAGTGGAGCAGCCGGGACGTGAACTGGTTTGCTGTCACTTCAAGACAAGCGTTAACCAGCTGGGCCAGCATGCCAGCCCCTCAAACTGGTATTTCACTTAAAAATTGCACATTAGGGGTCCAGTGCAGTAGCCTAGTGGTTAAAGTGCTCGCCTTGGATGTGCTGGGATCCCATAAGGCCACTGGTCTGATCCCAGCAACTCCATTTCCCATCCAGCTCCCTGCTTGTGGCCTGGGAAAGCAGTGGAGGATGGCCCAAAGCCTTGGGACCCTGCACCACTTGGGAGACCTGGAAGAGGCTCCTGGCTCCTGGCTTCGGGTCGGCGCAGCTCCAGCTCTGGCGGCCGCTTGGGGAGTGAACCAGTGGATGGCAGATCCTTCTGTCTGCTCTCTGTAAATCTGCCTTCCAATAAATAAAATCTGGAAGCTTATAATATTATTAAAAATTTCAAAAAATAAAAATTTGCAAGAATTTATACATATGTTCAGTTCTTCCTCCCATTTGAGATCTAATACTTGATCAAACAGCCAGCAAATTACATATACCGCAAAGAGCCGTAAAATGACCCAGGGCTAACGGATTCCAACAGGCTGAGAAGCCAAGGCAGAAACGGCCTGCAAGTGTCTGGCCCGACGGGGTCTGCGGCTGAACGTGAACCCAGTCAAGCTGCAGGGGCAGCGTGGCCAGGGCTCCGGGGCTGCCACCCCCCCCCAAGCCTGGACACTGGGTCAGCAGACAGAACTGACCCCTGCCTCCCCTGAGGACAAGCAGAAGACGTCCAGCAGCCCACACGGCACCGCGAGGCTTTGCCGAGACTACCCAGGAGCCGCGGCCGACTCACACCAGGCCCCAGGGGTTCCAGTCGGAGTACCCGGTCACCTGCTTCCCAGCCCTCACGCACCCTGAACTCTGCTCAGGGCCACGCGCCCTGGTACTTGCTGGGAAGGCCAGTTCCGAGCCCCAGTGGACCAGTTCAGCTTATAAACACATGGGCCGGATTACTCAGCTTTCCGGGATCAAGCATGCGGGCTGACTGCTCATCTGCTCGTGCCGTCGGCGCAGGCCCAGCCCCGGAGGCCCTGCCAGTGTCACAAGCTGCTGCCCCGGGGGCCTCTGTTTACTGTCATGGTAAGAACAAAGGACAAACCGGGAACGGAAACTGCCTTGCTCTGCACGTGGAATACAGCTCCGTGGTGGGAGGACGGAGCCACGAGAGGACTTCATGCCGCCAAGACGTGACAAGGACAAGGACCCCCGTGCTCATTCACTGCTGGGGGAGGTCGGCCCGGTGGGCACGGGACGCCACCTAGCTGACCACACCGAGGCTCTCCGCCGAATCCGACCCAATCACAGCCAGCCGTGACCTGTCATTGAGCTCGGCAAAGTCACCGACCTCCCCCGAGCTGCCTCCCAGGCCTCTGCCTGGCCCGCACGCTCCCGGAAGCGTGGACAGAGCCCCACCCCCCGACACGACAGGGACAGCACCTCGCCGACGCCCACAGGCCACACGTCGCACGGTCTCCAACGGCCCGCGAGGCGCCCCACACAGGGCCACGGGTCACTGCCAAGGGTCCGGCTCAGAGCCAGCCAAAGGCAGCACTTGCCCTCGCCAGCACCCAGGTCCTGGCTCGAGACCTGGGATTCAGAATCTGAGTTCCTTCCCCACCCACGACCGAGGCTGCAGGAACCACCTGCCTGCCTCCCTCCCGTGAAGTCGCTGCACACACACACGCAGACTGCAAATGCCACCTCGGGGACAAACCTGGGAAGGCTCCCCGTGAACCCCACCTCACGGCTGAGACCCTGGCACAACAGAACCCCTGGATTTGAGAGGCACTGCCCCCAGCCACTGGCACGACGCTTCTCATTTCTCCATCTGTCCCAGGACACGGGGCTGCGGGCACCAGCGCGGGGGGCGGCGGGGGGGAATAGTTACCCGGGGCCCTTGGGCTCGCTCTCACGAGGGTCTCCTCCCTTCAGCTTCCTCACCAGCTTCTCACTGCTGCGTCGCAGCGAGGCCCGCAGTTTGGTGAAGGAGCCACTGCGCTTCAGCGACCCGACGCCGTCCTGCAAGAGATGGGGAGAGCCTGAAGCTGGGGGCTCCTTGTGCCCCCGGTGCCCTGCCTAGCATGGAAGCTGCACCCAGAGTGGCGGCCCCTGCGACCCGCCGATGAGCCGGCTGACCAGGCACTGGTGGCTCCAGACAGCAGGGAGCCCATCCCAGGGCCACGAAGCCACGCGGCACGGCGTGAAAAAGCCCGCGGCGCAGACGGACTCCGAGGCCTTCCTGGAGACCACAGCCCCGCAACACAGCTGCTCCTGGGGGTCTCAACGACCCCGAGCTGGCACCTGGGCCCTTGGAGCCCGGGCACGACAGTGCCATCTGATGCAGCCCTCGGGGAACGCACACTCTCACTAAATGGTGGCTGCAAACATGGCTGGAAAGTTAAATGAACGCGCATTTTGTGCAAATAACGAAAAGCCCGAGACAGCTGCAGGTCAAGAACCGCCGCCTGACTCTGCGAGTGTGCGACGTGAACACTCGGCGGCATCTGAATGTGGAAGTCAGACCCCGGTGGGAGGAAGTGCCCCAGGAACTTTATTCTCAGTCACTTAGTAGGGTTACCAGGGCAGCCCGGGAGCGCGAGGTGCTGGGAAGCAGACACGAGACACAGGTCAGCCGGAGTGAGTTTATTAGAAGTTAGAAAGACACAAATACAACCACTGAGCACTGCAAGACCAGCAGAGAGAAGCTGAGCTGCCCAAATTCCACACGAAGACTACACAGCGAGCGCCAGGCGCGCAGCCCCACGCCGTGGGCGCTAAGCTCTAAGCTCACGTGCAGTACGAGCCTGGTCCGCGCCAGCACTGACGGTCACCTCATGCCACGGGCACACTGCGGGGACACCTACTACCTGCTACAGGGGACAGCTCGAGGCTCTTCCTGCTTAAACTCACGGAGCACACGGTCAGTGTATTTTATTAGTAAGCTTATACTCCTAAGTACACCTCTGCAAAGCTACATGTTTATAGAGATCAGGACCCCCGGGACAGCAGCACCGAGAGGAACGGCCAGTGACAGAGGTGCAGCGCTGACGGTCCTGGGGAGTCTAGACACGCGCAGCACTGCAGAGAAGGGAGCTGGAGCAGGCGCCGCCCGGCATGCAGGAGCGGCGGGAGAGGCACACGGGCGGCCAGGCCTGTCAGACAGAAACGAGAGAGAGGGAGAGGGAGGGAGAGAGAGAGAGAGGGAGAGGGAGAGAGAGGTGAAACACAGCGAGGAGGGCAGAGGGTACCACCCACCTAGCCCGGCTCACAGGGGGCTGGGGCTCCACGTGCTCTGCCTGGGTCCAGCCCCGGGGTCACCTGTGCCTGCGTCCACCAGCCCAGCGGGACACAGGCCCTGCGGCTGGCCAGCCCTCGGAGAAGTGGAGCTCACAGGCTTGGGGGCGGGGGGCAGGAACCAACAGGGCTCTGGCAACCGCACACGCACGGCTCCAATCCAGAGCACGCGGCCACCGGCGGGACTCGGGCCAGGCTGGCTGCCACCTGCTGACGGCACGAAGCGGCGGCCACCGCAGGGACCTGAGGCCTCACAGGTTGACAGCACGTGGGAGACATGCAGACGCCTCTCCGGCCCCCAGGGCGCCGCTGGCCACGGACCCAGGGGCCCCGAGCTGGCCGCTGGGACTCACCGTGGGCGCGGAGCAGGTCATTTAACCAGCCCGAGCTTCGTTCTCCTCATCTTTAAAATGGAAAAACAGCCCGTTACCAAGGCCTCAGGAGTGGGGGACGCGGCCACGCAACCCGTTACCAAGGCCTCAGGAATGCGGGGGACACGGCCACGCACTCAGTACAGCCCTGAGTCAATCGCAACCTGGGCGGGTCACGGGAGATCTGACCCGCACCCTTGCTGCCTGCCTGCCCCTCACACGCCCAGCCACCTGCAGCCCTCACGGTGACAAGCCGCCAGGCCCCAAGGCTCGCGAGGCGCTGGGTCCTGGCAACGGCTCCTTGGGGCCTGGCCATACCCCTGGCCAGCAAGTCGGCCCCCGCTTGCCCTTGCCATCCGTGACCCCGGACCACCCATCGCGGGCTCTGTGTAGTAGCCCAGCACTTTCAAACCCTGTCCGCCTGTGTGCGCTGCTGTGAGAGAATATGCTGGAAAGACAGGTTTGTGAGCAGAATGACCACCACGTGCTGGACACGGCGGCAGTGACTTCCTGTCAGGCAGCCCCTGGTCCTCCCACACTCATTTATCTGTGGTATAGTCTAGTCCCCCTCAGAATGTTTTTAAAAATCAAAATGAATCCCTTTCTGCTGAGCAACCGTTCCATTCCCGTTGGCTCTAGGTGACAGTGCAGGAAAGCCTGGCGCGCTCAGGCGGCATGGCGCAGGGCCCCGTGAGCAGCTGTGGCAGGGATGCAGGGATGCGCACGCCACTGCCCCGCCAGCTGCCTGGCAACGCGCCTAGGCAGGGGCGGCACCTGCTCCTGGCTCCAGCCGTCCCAGCCCCAGCACATGAAAGATCTCTCATTCTCTCTTTCTGGTCACTCTTCCTTTCAAATAACCAATATTAAAAAAAAAAAGACGAAGTTCAGCAACACTGCTGGGAGCAGTGTGAGCGGGCGATGGATGGGCCTGCGTCTCTAGGAGCCCCAGGAGACGCGCAAAAGGGCCGGGCGGGGCCGGCAGTGTCCCCCAGCGGGCCCGTGACACACACGGACGCCGCACGGTGAGCAGATGCCATGGCCACAGGCTCCAGGGCTGCCAGCGCAGTCAGGGCAGGTTTGCCCGCACGACTGGCAGTGTCCGATGGGGACACAGGGGAAGCAGTTCAGACACTGGGGAACACGTCTTTCAATCTGCCTTTTTTAAGATTTACTTTATTTTTATTGGAAAGTGAGGTCTACAGAGAAGAGTCTGAGAGGAAGATCTTCAATCCATTGATTCACTCTCTAAGCAGCTGCAATGGCCGGTGCTGTGCCAATCCGAAGCCAGGAGTCAGGAACCTCCTTCTGGGTCCCCCACACGGGTGCAGGGTCCCAAGGCTTTGGGCTGTCCTCTGCTGCTTTCCCAGGCCACAAGCAGGGAGCTGGATGGGAAGCGGGTCTGCTGGGATTAGAACTGGCGCCCATATGGGATCCCAGCATGTGTGGGGGAGGATTTTAGCCACTACGCTACCGCACCAGGTCCAATATGCCATTTTTTACTACTGACGTAACAAATCATCTTGCAGTTCAAGAAGCTGAGCAGGTCAGCACGCGAAGCTGCTGCCCACAGTGCCGGCTCCTGCCCACTGCCCTCCCTGCCCAGCTCCCAGCCCTGCCCAGAGGCCGTAGGAGGAGGGAGCCGGGGTGAGAGATCGCCTGTGTTGTTGCCTCTCCTCGGTCACACTGTCGCCATCAACCAACAGTTGGCTGATTTCCCTGTCTAAAAGGATCTCGATGCAGACCGATCTTCGTGTGAAATTGCATTGGTACTTTTTTTAAAAATTATTTTTATTTGAAAGGTGGAGTTGTTGAGAGAGAATCTTTCATATGCTACTTCGTCCCTTCCACGGCCACGACGGCCACGGCTGAGTCAGGAGCTGCATCGTGGTCTCCCACGTGGCACAGAGGCCCCAGACTGCATACCACCCTCCGCTGCTTCCCCAGGCCAAAAGCAGCGAGCCAGACTGGAAGTGGAGCAGTCAGAACTCGAACAAGCACCCGTATGGGATGCCAGCACCACAGGAGGAGGCTTAGCCTGCACATCGCAGCTCCAGCCCCAGCAGGACTGGTTTTCAAACTGCCCTCATCTCAGGGAAACCCTCAGCATATGAGAACAGCGTGAGGAACCTCCCCTCCGGCCAGGCTCCCTTGTCACCCCGAGCTAGTGGCTGTCACCAGCCCTCCCTAGAGATACGGGGATGCTTCTAGAACAAAACTCAAACCAACACGCTGGAGGCTCTGTGTGCTAGGGAGGGGCACAGCTCAGCCGGCAGGGGTTGGGGAGACAGCTCAGCCGGTGCGCCCAAGGCCCCTGAGAAGGACCGCCTTCCCGCAGCGTGCCTTACTTCCAGGAACCACTGCATGGTGGCCAAGGACCCAGGACCAAGGCAGCAGGACAGCGTGGTCTTGTGCCTGACCCACCCAGGGCCAGGGAGCCAGTGTGAGGCACCACGCCACTGGGCGGTAAGTGATAGCGGCTCCCTCACCGGAGCCTGTCTACAACAATGCTGAACTTGGAGTTGCCAGCCTGGCTTTCACCAGTCATTTCTTAGAAACTGGACCCAGAAACGTGGTCTCAGCTCTTCCAGAGCCCTGGAGTCTGCGCGTGGCTCCCACGGAAAGCAACCCACAGGGCAGCCATCAGAGCAGGTGCCAACCGGCTGTCCTCGCACAGTCAAAAGCAGCAGGAAAGTGGACAGCTAAGGACAGCAGGGCATCACACTCCCTGCAGCGCCGCTCCTAAGCCTTCCCTGCCGTGACACCATGGCCACAGAAAATCCTCCAGAATACACTCAGCCGACAGGGCCAGCATCCCGGGCCGGCCTCTGCTGCTTTCCTGGGCACCGCAACAAGTCCACAGCGGCAGCTTGAGCTGCACGACTGGGTCACGCAGGGGCGACTCCCGGGTCAGCTGCTGGATCGACAGAGCAGTGACCCGCAGAGGGGCCGGGGCCAAAGGGGCAGAGCCGGGCGGCGCCCACACGAGTGGGGCCAGAACCTAGGCCTCCCCGGCTCCTGCCCGTGGCGTCTCCTGGCCTGCCTGCGCGTTAGGGCGCTGCAGTTGGCAACATGCAGGGGAACCGGAGAGGAGGGTTAGTGACACTGACCCACACGCAGGGCAGCCCAAGCAAAGAGAGTCAGAGGGGCAGAGGCGGCGGGCGGGCTGCGAGCAGCGGCACCCGGCAGGGCGCCGCGAGGGCAGCGGGCGGCGGGCATACTTACCCCGTTCCACTCTACGCTCATACTCACTTCCTCCCCTCCGTCAGGGCCGCTCTCGTACTTGACCACGTCCATGTTGAGGCTCTCCCGGCTCCGGCGCTTCTCCATGTTCTCAGGGTCACTCAGCACTTCGGCCACTCTCTGCTTGTGGGCACTGTCAAGACCCTGCAGCCGGGGCAGAACGACACTGGCACTTGCGGGGAGCCCACACTCACCAGGAACATCAGAAGAGGATGCACTGGCCCCGGGGGACGGAGTGGGCTCCTGTGCGTCCTGAGCAGCCTGTGTGAGCTGGCCACCACGCGCCTGGGAGAACAGCTCAAGACGGCCCAGGTGCCGAGGCCCGCAGCCAGGCAGCAGACCCAGAGCCCCGGCTCTTGCAGCCACCTGGGGGGTCGACCAGCAGACAGAACATCGGTCTCTCCCTCTAACTCTGCTTTCCAAATAAATACAAGATATACTTATTTTAAGAAATTGGAAAGTGACTTGGTTGGTGTGCTGAGGCAAGGTAAGAAGCAGTGAAAAGCTGGGGGCACAATGAGGGAGCTGCCCACTCCGTGCCTCTCAGAAACGCCTCCGTCAGCACACTGCCACGGCAGCGGACGCCACTGACAATCGCTCGTTATTTTCTTATCAGTGTAGCTTTCTTTGAAGATTCTTTTTTAGGACCCGGCGCGGTGGCGCAGTGGTTAAGGTCCTCGCCTTGCACGCCCGGGATCCCATATGGGCGCTGGTTCTAATCCCGGCAGCCCCGCTTCCCTTCCAGCTCCCTGCCTGTGGCCTGGGAAAGCAGTAAAGGATGGCCCAAGGCTTGGGACCCTGCACCCGTGTGGGAGACCCGGAAGAGGCTCCTGGCTTCGGATCCGCATAGCATCGGCCTTGCGCTCACTTGGGAAGTGAGTCATTAGCCGGAAGATCTTCCTCTCTGTCTCTCCTCTCTGTATATCCGCCTTTCCAATAAAAATAAAATAAATCCTTAAAAAAATAAAAAAGAAAGTTACTGAGAAAGAAATGGAAAAACAGAGATAGAGATCTTCCACCCCCGCTCGGCTCCTCCGGCAGCCATGGCAGCACGAGAGCCAGGGGCCAGAGCGTCACTGGCGTCTCCACGTGCTGCAGGGGCCCACATCCCGGGCCGGCCTCTGCTGCTTTCCTGGGCACTTCAGCAGGAAGCTGCGGGGAACAGAGCAGCCAGCATACAAACTGGCGGCCGCCCACATGAGAAGCTGCGTCTCACGCTGGCCCAATGTCACGCTTGGAGGAACTGGCCAGTAACGCACACGGGCTCGGTAACAGCAAACGTCCCTCACGGGGCAGGATGGAGCCGGCCGAAAGCCCGAGGGCCGCTGGCTCAGCCGCAGGCCGCCGACCAGACAACGGGACATCGTCCCCTCTCTGCCTCTGTAATCCTGTCTTTTCGACAAAAGTAAGTAAATTCTAAAAATCGTTTTATTTGAAAGGCAGCGTTTGCCAGAGACAATCTTCCACGTGCTCTCCACGCCCCCACGGTCACGCCGGCTGCTGCTGGGCCAGTCCACAGCCAAAGCTAGGGGCGGACATTCTTTCAGATTGCCCACATGCAGGGACCCAGGCACTTGGGCCATTCTGTGCTGCTTCCCGGGGCAGCAGCAGGGAGTTGGATGCAAAGTGGAGCAGCCGGGACTCTAACTTGTATCTCTATGCGATGCCAGCACTGCAGGCGGCAACGTTACCCAGTGACTCCAGCTTACGGACACACTGTGCAGGTGGCATCCCCTGGCCTCTTGCGTGGCTCCATCCTTCCCCCTCCTGTGCGGAATGCTACCTGACTCTGGCCCAGGAGAGCCTCAGATACGCATGGAGTCTGCATCAAGCAAAGCCACCTGCTTGCCAAGAGGGGTTCCTAATCCAGCAGGCCAGTGTGCACTGCACATCGCCGGCCTGCCTGGGCCCTCCTAGGGTCTTCCTCACGCTTCCTCCGGGTCTCCATCCCAAAATTCGCTCTTCTGAAAACCTAACTTTCAAAGTCATGTAAATAACGATCATTAGCGTTGTGACACCTGCATTCCATATGGGTGCTGGTTTAAGCCCAACTTGCTCAACTTGCCCAGCTCCTTGCTCACACGTCTGAGAAACCAGCAGAGGGCCGACCACGCCCACCTCCAGCAGCCACGGGAGACCCCGCCCACCCCCAGCAGCCAAGCCATTGCAGCACTGAATGAATGAACCAGAGGATGCAAGGTGACTCACTCTGTAATTATGCCTTTCAAATTAATCATTCTTTTAAAATTCAAAATTCAAAATTCAGGGGTAGGCACTAGTTACAGAAGTACATTCTGTCTCAGTATGAGTGCAGGGCCCAGCTCCTCCACTTCCGCTCCAGCTGCCTGCTAATGTGCCTGGGAGGCAGCTGTGGGCCCATCACCCTCTGTTGTGGGGGACACAGGCTGAGTGCTGGGCTCTCGGCTCCAGCCCACCCAGGCCCAGCAGGCACATTCCCACTGCCTGCACCATGCAGGTGAAAAGCCAGCAGCCGAGGGTCCCAGCAGCCCACTCACCTGCTTGCGTGACCTCATGGCCGCTTCCTCCAGTGTCTCAGCGGCTTCAAACTTCCCTTGGCGTCTGTAAAGAGCTCCGAGGTTTTTCAGAGTGGTGGTGACTGTAGGACTGCAGAAGGCACAGTGAGACACGGTGAACACAAGCCTCGCACAGCCAAGGACACACAGGCGTGCGATCAGCACGGGGCCTCCCGACCCAGGGTCCCGCAGCGAAGCTTTGCGAGTTGCTCGGCCAGTGGCCCCACCGCCCAGTGCTGGCCACAGTAGCCGCAGAGGCACGCCCTGACCACCACGCTCTCCTACCTGTCAACTTTGCAGGCTTTGTACCAGCCGCCATACTCCCCAAAAGCCGCTCCAGCCTTCTGCTTCCCCTGCATCACAATAGACGATGGGCATGAGGCGGTGGGCGCCAGGGTGCGAGGGCCTCCCCCGCCCTCCCTTACCTTGCTCTCTTCTCGCTCCTCAGCGTGCATCCAGATGGGCTTGTTCTCGCCTAGGGGAGAAGGGGCACTCAGACCCAGGGCCACGGGGCAGGGAGGCCTCAGCGTCCATGCTCCAGGCTGCCTCTGCTCCTTGCAGGGTCCCTCCCAGGCATTTTTCTTTTTATGCTTATCTATTTAATTGAAAGTCAGTCCCAGAGACAGAGAACAGCCGGTACTTGAACCAGCGCCCATATGGGAAGACAGAACAGCAGACGGCGTCTTAACCCACTGCGGCATGGCACCGGTCAGGACTGTTGCTTCTTACAGTCCACAGAACAAGTTCTCACTGCAGAGGGCGCCTGTGAGTCAGACACGGACACCAAGGGACAAGCAGCCAGCCGTCCCGTCCAGCACCAAGGACGCTGAATCAGCACGACCTGACAAACACTAGGACCTGGGATAGAACATCCTAAATGCCAGAGACTCACAGAACACCGGAGATGTCCAGAATTTTGGCAACCCGCCACTGAACCTTTCATTGACAAAAACTAGGGAAGACTTTGGGAGCAAAACGGTATAAACCCAGATTCTCTTAAAGGGCCACCTCACTGACGCGCATCAGTCTCGAGTTCCTGAATAGCCATGTCGCAAGCCACAGTGATGTGTGTGACAACGGCCCCTCAGCCGGAGGGGACGCACAGCACCCAGGGCCGCACGGACAGCAGGCCTCCCTGGGACAGGTGTCTGGCCTTCAGCCAAGACGCCCGAGCAGCTGGGCTGAGTCCTGCCACCCTGGAACGTAGCAGGTAACGATTCCAACCCAGAAACAACGGCTTTGCGCCCACACAACAACACACAAATACTTTTAGCAGAAAGCCGCTGGCCACTGGTAAGGAAACACCTCCATGCTGACAGCGGAACACAGGAAGGAGACGGGCCGCAGCCACGACTCGGTCAAGCGGGAGTCCGGGCCCTGCAGTGCCAGGTGCCATTCCAGGAGAGGCGACAGCCTCAGAGTCAGAGCTGCTGCCCCTGCACGCGGGCCCTGCTGCTGTACCTGCAAGAGGCGCACAGCCGTCCCCACTGCAACCTCACCGCTCTCCCACTGGCACACCGGATCCCTCCCACAGGGCAGGCTCAGCCCACGGGGCAGGCTCAGCCCACGGGGCAGGCTCAGCGTGGGGCAGGCTCAGCGTGGGGCAGGCTCAGCTCAGAGCAGGCACCAGTGGCAATCTCCCCAGGGAGCTGAGACGGCAGGCCTGGGCTGAAGCAGGCTAGAGCCCGAGCTGGGTCCCCCACGAACCATCATCTCTCCCGCCAGGGTGGGCACTGCAGGCAGGCAGCCATCCTAACTGGTGCCCGACTGCCCAGCCCCTCCGTGTCCCGGACTGAACTCTGGCTCTGAAGACGCTGTGCGGACTCGCACAGCAGCAGCTCGAGCGGCGGCCAGGCCCGGGCAGAGGCGAGGCGTGCTTACCGTCCACGGAGCCAAACTCTCTCTCGTGCGCACGCGTGAGGATATCCTTGTACAGCGTCTCGGCCTGCTTGAACTTTCCTTGCTTCAGGTAACAGGAGGCCTGCAGACACACAGGGCCACGCGCCCGTCAGCGGCCGCCCGGCGGCCGGCAAGTCCGGCCTGGCTGGCTGCGCCCGCCACGCACCAGGTTGTTCTTGGTCTTGGCCACGTTGGGGTCGTCGGGGCCCAGCTGGGTCTGGTAGATCTCGAGCGCCCTCTGGTAGTAGTGTTCCACCTCCTCGTACTTGCCCTGGTTCTGGCACAGCAAGGCCAAGTTGTTCAGCTGCTTGGCCACATCGGGGTGGTCCTTGCCCAAAACCTAGGGGCCAAGGCAGAAGCACAAACACGTTTGCTCCTCCGCCAGCCCACCCAGCTGCTCCCCCATCAGAGACTTTCTAGGCCTTTCTAGGATTTAGAAGCATCTCCCCTCCAGGCCCCTGGGTCACACACTACGAAGAATAACAACCAGAATCTTTCCAACCCTCATTTAAAAGAGGAGAGGATTTACGCATCTACAAGTCAGGCCTACAGAGCAGAGACGTCCATCGGGTGGTTCACTCCCCAAAATGACTCCGCCGGCCCAAGCAGGAGCCTGGCATGCCGCCTGGGCTTCCTGGCACACACCCCTCCACATGAGCAGGACGCAGGCTCAATGCGGAGCAGCCGGGCGCTGAACCAGCCCTGCGCGCCCCCGCTGTGCCCACGACGCCCCGACTCCACGGCTGCACTTCTGCCAGCCACTTTCACCCTTCCGCGCCCCTCACGGCAGAGGGACCAGCGGACAGAAGCCGTCTCTCCTCACTGTAAATTTACCTTTTCATTCAAAATAAGTCTTTCTTAAGAATTTCAATTTTGTAACTAACTTTTTCACTTTTACTCTTCCAATCCCTTGCCATATAACCCATCACCAGGCCAGGCCCCGCCCTCCACAGGCCCCGCCCCACCGGCCTGGTCCCGCCCTCCCCCAGGCCCCGCCCCACCGGCCTGGCCCCGCCCTCCCCAGGCCTGGCCCCATCCGTCTGGCCCCGCCCTCCCCAGGCCCCGCCCCACCGGCCTGGCCCCGCCCTCCCCAGGCCCCGCCCCACCGGCCTGGCCCCGCCCCTCCCGTCATGCCCCGCCCCTCGCCCACCTTCTCTCGGATCTCCAGGGCTCTCTTGCACAGCGGTTCGGCTTCCTTGTACTTCCCTCTTTTACCATAAAGCACGGCCAGGTTGTTCAGGGTCGCCGCCACCTGCCAACACAGGAGGCCACTCAGCACGGCCACGGGCCGGCAGAGCACGCACAGTCACAGAGGAGGAGGACCCAGGTAACAGGAAGAAAGCTTCACTGTAACGCAGGTGACACACAAGCTAGCAGTGAACAAATCATCAACAGGGTCTTGATTTTTTTTTAATTTTTCTGGAAGCCACAAAGTCAACCAAAATAGATCTATTTGCAAATCTCAGCAGATTGTAATAAAAATATAAATGCTTGAGGAGAAAATTTACAGTGGTCCATGCAATGTGATTTCTGAGCAGCTGAGGGGTGGCCGGGCAGGCAGCGCGGGCCGCGGGCTGGACTCCACGGCCCTGGCCTCCTACCTGCACCTCAGCGCAAAGTGGCTCCTAAGCTTCCCTGCGGAGTTCAACACTACAGTGAGTCGGACACAAAGCATCGGGGAGAACAGGACGGAGCAAGCGGGGGCAGGTGCACAAACCGCAGGGTGGTCCTTGCCCAGGGTCTTCTCCCGGATGGCCAGGGCGTCGTTGAGCAGGTTGGCCGCGTCTTTGTACTTGTTCTGATCTCTACGGCAGGAAAACACACAGCAAGTGTTGTCAGAGCTTTTAAAACCACCTTGCAACTTTGAAAATAAAAGACTTAAGTTACAAAAACAACAACACTCCTGTTGGGGAGGGGGAGCTGGCAGGCGAGGTGGGCCCCGGGAGCAAATCTGATGGCCGCCTCTTCCTGGTCGCCCATGTGGCCCACCGACACTGGTCACCTCACACAGCGCCACCGACAGGCACAGACCAAGGCTGTGTGCAATGAGGCAGGCCCATGTCCGTCAGCTCCCGGCTCCCACCAATGGCCCTCCCGCCTTGCTCCCAGGCTTCCCGAGTGCACCAACTGCATGACTCAGCCAACGTGGAGACCTCAGAAGGGAAAGGGGAGGGCCCCCTTGCGGTAGCCTAGTGGCTGGAGTCCTCGCCTGGCATGCGCCAGGATTCTATATGGGCACTGGTTAATGTGCCAGCAGCCCCACTTCCCATCCAGCTCCCTGCTTGTGGCCTGGGAAAGCAGTCGAGGACGGCCCAAAGCCTTGGGACCCTGCACCTGTGTGGGAGACCTGGAAGAGGCTCCTGGCTTTGGATTGGCTCAGCTCCGGCCGTTGCGCTCACTTGGGGAGTGAATCAGTAGGCAGAGGATCTTCCTCTCTGTCTCTCCTCCTCTGTATATCTGACTTTGCAGTGAAAGTAAGTAAATCTTAAACAAAAAAGGAACCAAGGCCAACGCAGTGCAGTGTCTTCGTCTGGCGTCCATTCGCCAGTGGCCCCCAAGGTGGCGTCCACCGGTTCCCCAGCAAAACCCTGCCCTGAACCCCCAGGAAGGAATGGACAGGTTTGCTAAACCTCTGAAGCCCCCCAAATTCAGCTTTGTTTTGTTTCTGATGAATTGATTTGAAGCACAGTGACAAAGATCCGGCACACTCAGCTTCACTGCCTGAATGACCACACGGCCAGGGCTGTGCCAGAGCAGGCCCGGGCACTCTGTCCGGCTTCACAGGGCAGCGAGAGCCCGAGGACCTGGCCAGCTCCCACTGCTTTCTCAAATGTCAGTAAGAAGCTGGTTCAGACGTGGGGCAGCTGGGCCTTGAACTGGCATTCATACGGGATGCCGGCACAGCAGGCAGAGGCTTAGCCACCTGTGTCCCTTTATGATCAGCGATGCGCTGTGGGACAGCAGCACGAACAGGCTGCATTACCAGCTGCTTTCCAGGTGTTTTTTACACAATGAACTCTCACTGTGACGTAACCGAGGGCTGTTTACCACATGCACGCCCTTAGACAGCCACCCCGCTGGCCTGCCTGCCAGGGCTCCCACGTACTGTTGGTAGGCTTACAGTAAGAAAACAGGCAGCTTCCTGGAGTGACCAGTGTGTGAAAGCCGTCAGGCTGTTAAAGACGAATACCCCCACCTTATCCGCCAGAGGAAAGCCACGTGGGATGCCCACATCAGAGGGACGCCAGCATGTCACACGAACACTCCAAAGACAAGGTACAATGGGGCTTGGGCTGCTGAAAGCGACCGCCCCACCAGGGCCCGGAGGCTCCACTGCTCTCGGCGTCACAGGTTCCCAGCCCTTTTTCGCCATTCCACCCCGCTTGCTCAGGCTGCCGTCTCCACACCCCACACCCTCACCCATGCCCTCCAGCAGGCCGCCCTGCCTCCAGGCCATGGCCCCTTCTGCAGTGGGCACCGTGCCAACATGGAGCAAGGGGAATCCAGGGTCCCAGGAGGACGACCTGGGGAAGGGACAGACAGGACAGCAGGAAAGCCACACCCAAGCAGAGCAGAGCTGTGGGCTACTTGAGGGCCGGGCTGGAAAGCTGTCCTCGCCGCGCGGCCACAGCGTGCTCGGAGCCAGCTGGGTTGAGCGCTGTCGCAGAGAGGCTGGCACTGACCTGTACACCAGGGCCAGGATGTTGAGCATGGTGGCCACGTCAGGGTGGTCGTGGCCTGACGTCTTCTCCAGGTCCTCGAGTGCCTGCTTGCAGAGCGGCACGGCCACCTCGTAGCGGCCCTGCGAGGCGTACTGGATCACCAGGTTGTGCAGGGTGCGCAGCCGTGCAGGGATCTCATACCCGCCCTGCTGGGCCGCCGCAGCCGCGCTGCTATGCCGCTGCTGGACTGCAAGGAGCGGTGCGTCAGCCTCGTCTCCCAGGCGCCCACGGCCCCGACTCCCAGGCGCCCACGGGCTGGGCTCCAGTGGGCTCCTGCCCTCCCCCCAGCCCCTCAGGACAGCTGACCCTGTGCGAGCCCGGCATGATGGGGCCATGCCTGCTGACCACGCCGAGGGCTCCTTCAGCAGAGCAGGCCCTCAGAAAGGCGCATCAGACCACCACCCCTGCTGCCCGGTGCCCGGCTGCCACCTACCCGGCCCAGGGCCCCTCCCTCCCCTCACTCACTTCCTTGCCCCGGGTCGTCCTCCTCATTGGGGAAAAGATCGTCCAGAGGCTCTCTGCTGGAATCAGCATCTTTGTCCTCCTGCGGAGAGCACAGAGAATCCCGTCACCGAGCCACCCCGAGGACGCGCATGTCACACCAGCCGAACAGTGTGGGGCTCCGCCTCGCAGGCTGCAGTGACGCTCCCCTGCCCGTGTCAGGCTGCAGTGACGCTCCCCTGCCCGTGTCAGGCTGCAGTGACGCTCCCCTGCCCGTGTCAGGCTGCAGTGACGCTCCCCTGCCCGTGTCAGGCTGCAGTGACGCTCCCCTGCCCGTGTCAGGCTGCAGTGACGCTCCCCCATGTTCCCCTGCCTGAGTTCTGAGCATGCTCATGTGGGACAGGGAACCTTACTTGAGCTGAAGTCTTGTTCAGAAATGAATGTGCAGGGCCTGGCGCGGTAGCCTAGTGGTTAAAGTCTTTGCCTCACATGCCAGATGACACCTCTCAACACTGCCCAGTGTCCTGCCAGGCACTGGAGGGCAGCACCCACATGGCAGTGCCCCTATCGGATCCTAACAACTTACTGGAAGCCAAACACAGGAAACCCGGTAAAACCAGGCGCTACCAATCGAGTCCTGTGCCCTAATCTCGCAGGAAGCCCTGAGCACAGCGTGTCTGGCCCTGGCAGCGGCCGGCCGGCAGTGCGGGGACAAGCTGCAGCTCCTGAGGGGCACGCACACTCACCGACGGGGAGACGTCATCGTCGTACTTCTTGAGCTGGTTCATGAACTCCAGGTGCTTCTTCTCCTCCTCCAGCTGGGCCACAGACTGCTCGCTCTTCTGCAGCTTCTGCTGCGTGTTGGCCAGCTCGTCCCGCAGCCACTGGTTCTCCTGGCACAGGCGGCGCACCTGGGCCCGCAGCTTCTGCTTCTCGGACTCGACGGCATTGAGGTGATTGGACAAAGCCATCATGACCTGGGCAGGCAGGAACGGCCAGGCTGCAGGAGCAGCCGACAGGCTCCGTCCCCCCGCGCACGTGCGCAGGACAGCCTATGCTAACTCCTCTCGGTGCCCCTCGGGCATCAGCCGCGGCGGCTAGCACGGGAACACGGGGCGGGGTGAGCCGCTTACAGCACACGGCACCCACCCGAGAGCCTCTCGAGGGGCCTGGCACACTGGCGAGCTCTGCCAGCTGCACGGCCCCGTTCCCGTGCCCAAGGCCGCACGCACGGGCTGCGCAGCCGCGGGGCAGGCGGCCCTCTGGCTCTGTCTCTGCTGCAGGGCTCCTACCGGAGTTGTGCGGGAAAGCCAGGCAGTCAGGTCTCCTCGCGTCTACGTCAAGTACGATGAAAATAACGTGAGCCAGCGCTGACCCTGGGCACCGCACGCTGTGGGCTGCCCGCCAGTGCCCGCCCGGCCTCACTCCTCAGACCTAGGTACCCACACCTAGAAGCAGGCCAGACTGTCTTCCGGCCCCACTCACAGCTGGACGGCCACTCCGACCAGTCCTCTCAGGAGAAGGCCTGCCTTCCCGGCTGTCCCCAGCGGCAGGGCAGCCCTGACACACACAGCCTCGCAGGCACGGACACCTGTTCGGGCCAGCCTCCACGCTGGCCTCACACACACTGGGGCCCCCAAGCCTCAAGGCCGCACACAGCTGCCCCTGTTCGGACTCTAAGCTCTGATATGCCCAAACCCACAAGCATGTAAGCAAGACGCGGGCAGGCGGCCGCCCCTCGCGCACCTGCGCCCGCCCCTCGCGCACCTGCGCCCGCCCCTCGCGCACCTGCGCCCGCCCCTCGCGCACCTGCGCCCGCCCCTCGCGCACCTGCGCCCGCCCCTCGCGCACCTGCGCCCGCCCCTCGCGCACCTGCGCCCGCCCCTCGCGCACCTGCGCCCGCCCCTCGCGCACCTGCGCCCGCCCCTCGCGCACCTGCGCCCGCCCCTCGCGCACCTGCGCCTCACTCAGGCCGAGTTCCAGCATCTCCAGCGACTTGCGGATCATGTTGGACTTCTCCTCCACCAGGTTGCTCTCGTCATCTTTCTTGAGACACTTGAGCGTCTCCAGCAGGCTCTGCAGGATGGAGTTGTGCTCGTTCTTGAGCGCCTCCAGGCCCTGGATCACCTGCTTCGTCTTGGAGATGATTTCATCCTGGGTCAGCTTCTCCAGCTTGTCTTCCTTTATGTACACCATTGTGGACATGTCGTCGTGCATTCTGGAACAGAGGGAGAGGGCAGACAGCTGAGAACTGACTCATCCCTTCACCCCTCCACGGGCCCCCCGCCCTTCGCCCCTCCACGGGCCCCCCGCCCTTCGCCCCTCCACGGACCCCCCCTCACCCCTCCACGGCCCCCTCACCGTCTGGATGCACACCTGCTGCTCTTTCCTCACCGCAGACAGTCTGCACAGGGATCATTGTCAGGAAGACAGCTCTCCCCTCGGTCAAACTGTCACTCCTTACACTGTTTCAGACGCTGACCCAGCTGAGCCACAGGCCCCTTGGCTACCCCGGCACCCGAGCCACGGGAAAGCCTTGGGAACCTCGCAGGGGTGGGACTCACGCAGCGCGGGGTTCACTGATGAAGCTGCCCAGCCAGACAGCAGCACCCCCTGCTCACGGAGCACAGGTTCACTAAGCCCACTCGCGGCCGGGCATCGGGTAGGATCTTCACACACACTCTCGACACCCACTTGTTCCACAAAAGAACACGGCTGCGGTGACGAGGCCCGACAGGCACTGCAGAGAGCCACGCGTGGCTTCACACAGGCAAGGCCGAGGCCAAGGCCACGAGCAAACTCCGTGCATAAAGCCACGGGCAGCCAGCACACCACAGCCTTCTGCGGGCAACGTCCTCAGGGCTTAACCAGAGCTCAGGGCAGGCTGGCAGGCCCCGGGCCCTGGGCTGGGCTCCAGCTGCGCCAGCGCTAACACAGAAGGAATGCGGGAGGCCAGAAGCTCACCAACCTGCCAGGGGACTCAGCTGCACAGGCAGCACCCTGCGGGTGGTCAGGGAAGACTGCCGGACCTAGGGCCCCGGCGGCAGCCAGGAGGACAGAGTGCAGCACAGCAGGGACAAAACAAGCAAGGCAGAAATCCAGGGACCACAAGGGAACAGCGACTTCGGGGGGGGGGGCTGACGGGCGAGCGGAGGAACCCCCATCTCACCCACACCAGCGGCCGGCAGTGAGCGGGCAGCCCTCCCTCACTGAAGCTGCCCACATGCGCCATCTCGGAATGGCCAGCTCGTGTCTGCCCACAGGTATTTCTTTATAACTTAGTATCCTTCTCCAGGTTAGACCAGAGGCCAGGAACTCCATCCGGGTCTCCCAGCCGGTACAGCTTTCCCACGTGCACGGGACTGAGCCGGCACTCCGATAATGGAACACTGGGCTCGCGAGCAGCTGCGGCTCAACCTGCAGCACTCCGGGCCAACCCCTGGACTCACCTGAACGTCTCCTGCCCCACCCCAGAACTGGGCATTTCACTTTATGACAAAAACTGTTCAATGACAGCGCTAGGCAGCCATCTAGGTTGCCTTGTACTGCTAGGAGAAAAGCAGCCAGTAGCTGGTGGGCATTCTGGACCGTTAACCACAGCAGTACACCTGCAAGTGGGCAAGGTGGAGGACAGCAGGCCGGGGCACACCAGCCTGGCCCCCAGTCAGGTGCAGGAGGGCTGCACCCGCCCAGGGAGAGGGGCCTGGGGACGCAGGAGCGTAGGAGCGGTTGGGTTCGTGTTTGACAGGGAAGGGAATGACTTCTGGGGGCTTCCACAGACCAGGCCACGGCCCTCACTGGCAGGGGAGGGAGCTGCCCACACGACAGACCCGGGAGGACTAGGCAGCACGCCCGGCAGCCACCGGCACACGTGACTGGAGCAGCGAGTGGGTCCTGACAGCTCGGGCCACAGCACCCACCAGAATGGGAAAGAACCAGCTCTGGGGGCAGATTCTGTGGGCATACTGTGGGCTTGCCTCTGCGGGATTGAAGCACCTGCTGGCTTACAAGGAGAGGTGGGGGCGGTAGCAGGCTGAGCCACGCTGGACCACAGAGCTCACCTGGCAGGAACCACCTGACATTCATGAGAGCTGGGTGGGGAGCAGGTCAGGCATGGCCAGGCTGCAGCACCCACTGGCACATGCAAAGGCTGGGGCTGAGGGCAGACAATGCCATGCAGGGCTCCTACCCCTGCTGGCATGCCTGAGATCCAGGGCTGGAAGCGAGCCTGACGGGGACTTGGGGAACTCCACGAGGCCACAGCTCCTATGGGGAAGCAAGAGCCGGGGCTGCGGGCAGGCCATGTCAGTCAGGGCGGCAGTACCTAACGGCACACACAAGATCCACTGCTGGGGGCCCCGTGCAGTAGCCTAGCAGCTAAAGTCCTGGCCCTGATCGTGCCAGAATCCCATACGGGCGCCGGTTCTAATCCCGGCAGCTCCACTTTCCATCCAGCTCCCTGCCTGTGGCCTGGGAAAGCAGTTGAAGATGGCCCAAAGCCTTGGGACCCTGTGCCAGAGTGAAACCTGGAGGAGGCTCCTGGCTTTGGATCGGCTCAGCTCCAGCTGTTGCAGTCACTTGGGGAGTGAACCAGCAGATGGAAGATCTTCCCCCCCATCTGTCCTTCTCTCTGTAAATCTGATCTGCATTTCCAATAAAAATAAATCTTGTAAAAAATAAAATAAAACAAAAACCCAAGTGTACACCAATGCTGCATTCACAAGGGCTGAGCCACCTGACGAACGGGCACAGGCCGAGCGCCCGCTGCCTGGAGTCCAGGGCACTGGGTGCTGCTGGGCTGGTGTGGGGTGAGAGAACATGCTGGGGTGAGGCAGCAAAGGCTGGACAACTGCAGATTTTATCACATGTGTCTTATTCCTTAATGGAATATAGACATAATTTTCCATACTAACTGATACAAATATTTTTTACCCTTTTCCAAAAGATACAAAAAGCTTTATTTCTGAGAGCAGCGTTGTAGCATAGCCGGCCAAACTGCGCAGTGTCCCACACAGGCACTGGCTGCCCCTTCCCACCTGGGAAAGCCGCAGAAGAGGGCCTCTGCACGCGTGGGAGCCGCCCGCGTGGCTCAGCCAGGCCGCCCTGAGCGACCGCAGAGCAGGTCAGCACACGGAAAACTTCTGTCATTATGTCTCTCAGATGTTAAAAAAGAAAAAGCTTCATTTCTCAATTTTTAAAATGATTTATTTATTTTTATTGGAGAGGCAGATATACAGAGAAGAGAAGAGAGAGGAAGATCTTCCATTCGTTGATTCACTTCCCAAGTGACCTCAACAGCTGGAACTGAGCCAATCTGAAGCCAGGAGCTAGGCGCTTCTACTGGGTCCCCCACATGAGTGCAGGGTCCCAAGGCCTTGGGCCGTCCTTGATTGCTTTCCCAGGCCACAGGCAGGGCGCTGGATGGGAAGTGGAGCTGCCAGGATTAGAACCGGCGCCCATATGGGATCTCCACATGTTCAAGGTGTAAGCTTGAACTGCTAGGCCACCGCGCTGGGCCCAAGAACTGATTTTTAAATGTGCTTTTTCTGACTGGCTTTTCCTTAGTTTATAACCTGTTCCAGACTCCTGGCACTGTGCTGGTCTGCTGAGTCTCCTCTGCCTCAGAGCCAATCCTGTGTCTGCCCCAGGTCGCCAGGCTGGAGGTGGGCATGGGGGGGGGGGCGCTGCACCAACTAGGCTGACATTCCCACTGGTGTGTATGGCAGGCTGGGCTGCACAGCACACGGAGCTGGAGATGGAACTGACCAGGCCACTGTAATCACGAGTGTGTGCAGTCTGATGTGGTGACAGACTGAACTGGACCCTGCACTGGCTGGCACACGCGAGGGTCACGTGTGACATCAGCCCGGTGAGGTTCCTGGGGGACTCCCCCACGAGACCGCTGGACTCAAAAACTGTGGTCACGGGAGGGGACTAGGCCTCCTCGCTGCTCGTGCCAGTCACAGGGAGGACGCGGCCAGCTCCTCTGGGCCTGCGGAGGACAGCGAGGGCCACGTCACAAGATGGAGAGCAGAGCAGCTGGGACAGCTCCTGGCCGAGCCCGGCCAGCAGGTGTCCGGGTGGACTCTGTCAGCCAGCGTGCCCGGGAAGGATTTCTCAGCTTGGAGCAGCGGCACGAGCAGCATCTCAGACCTATGCAGACACCTCGGACACGCTTCTCCGCCCCCGGTCTCCACGGGGACATCAAGCGGACAGCCCCATGCACAGGTGCTGACGTAGCGCAGCCGAGAGCTGCGTCCTCCCCGCCTCCGCCCCGGACACAGGGGAAAAGAGAAAGGCATTCACTCGTCCTGCCCACCTCCCCGACCCTAATCAGCCTGCCTCATGTCAACGATGTAAACAACATCAAAAATAAAGGATTTATTTTTAAAAAAGGAAAGAAAAAGAAGAACCACACACGCTCTGCCAGACACCGGGCAGCACGCGGACTCCCTGCCCGCAGCGTGGACCGCGAGACCACTTCCACGCGGACTCCCTGCCCGCAGCGTGGACCGCGAGACCACTTCCACGCGGACTCCCTGCCCGCAGCGTGGACCGCGAGACCACTTCCACGCGGACTCCCTGCCCGCACCGTGGACCGCGAGACCACTTCCACGCGGAAGGCCTCGTGGGCAGCTGGGAGTCAGGGTAAGGACACGGCACGGCGGCCACGGGCGCTCCCACACGGCCTCCTCGGGGTCTACGGGACTTACAACAGAGAGAAGAAACGACAGCTCTCCCCGCCCCCTCGCTCCTGGGCCGCACGTTTCCCACGAGACTTAAACAGAGAGACGGGAAAGCAGGAGCCACAGGAGCAAGCCCGAGGCGCAGGACTCCGCCGTGAGGCAAAGCGACTCAGAACGAGGAACACAAGTATCCGGCAGAGGGATCGCGTCCTAAACACGCCATGAGAAAGCAAACGCAGGGGTCGGTGGCACAGGAAGTAGGCTGAGCTTCCCATCTGAGTGCCAGCTAGGGTGCCCACTGCTCCATTTCCCATCCAGCTCCCTGCTAATACACTAAGAAGCGACAGAGGATGGCTAACGCGTCTGGGCCCCTGTACCCACGAGACCCGAAGAAGCCCGTGGCTTGAGTGGTCCAGCCCCAGCCGGTGTGGCCATTTGGAGAGTGGCCCAGCAGATGGACAATCTCTCTCTGCTTCTCAAATAAACAGATAAATCTTTAAAAAATTAAAAAGGGGGTGGGGGAACAACACAATGGCTCAGTTTGCTGAATCTCCCCATCCAAGTGCTGGGATCCCATGTGGGCGCCGGTTCTAATCCCGGCAGCTCCGCTTCCCATCCAGCTCCCTGCCTGTGGCCTGGGAGAGCAGCAGAGGACGGCCCAAAGCCTTGGGACCCTGCACCCACGTGGGAGACTTGGAAGAGGCTCCTGGCTCCTGGCTTCAGACCAGGTCAGCTCCAGCCACTGCAGCCACTTGGGAGATTGAGCCAGTAGACAGAAGATCTTTCTGTCTTTCCTTTTCTCTATAAATCTGCCTTTCCACTAAAAAACGAATAAATTTTTTTAAAGAAAGGGTGTAATTCCACGTTTAAAGTGGGCAACAACATTGAACAGCCATTCAGGCCCCCAAGTCACCCAACAGGACTCTCCACTCCAGCAGGACAACCTCAATGAAACGGCAACAGCTTCCAGGCCAGAGGCCGGCTGGCGAGCACCAGAGGCTGGCCTGCCCAGGGAGCACCAAAGGTGAGAGCCCACCAAAACCCCACAGCTGCAAAGGGCAGTCAGCCACCCACAGTGTCGGCAATTCTGCTCGTGGCCCAAAGTCAGACAATGGGCTCCCCCAGGGCCGCCTACAAGGAGCGGCAGCCCCAGGCCAGCACAGCACGGGCCCGGGAACAGGACACCCTCCCGGCAGGAGCCACAGGGTGGACCACAAGACCACGAGGCTCCAGGAAAGTCTGGATGCAAAATACGCCCATTCCATGTCTCTGCAACTCTAGAATAACTACAGGAAACCTCTGATGACAGACACACCAGCACTGCCTGGAGGAGCAGCAGCAGGGAACTCAGCAGTGACACAGCAGCAGCAAAACCAACGCAACAGTGTAACTCCCGGGACAGACTTCGTGACAGCGGATCTCAACTTGAAAACAACTTCCCACCAATCAGCCACCCATTCACACCCCAGGACCCCTCCAGGTCACCGGAGGGTGGCTGTTACCAGGGGCTCTGTTTGGGAATGCTGGAAAATGTGAGAGGTGTTGGGGTGCAAGGAGGATAGCCCAGGCCCCCCACTGCTCCCAGCAGACTGCCCAGCACAGCCCAGGGCCGCCGTGGCCAGACTCTGCAGGGTGCTGAGGTCCAGGGGAGACACAGGTGGCCTGACCCCATCCCCATGACCCTGCAGGAGGCTCCCAGAGCAGAACCCGCAGAGGAGGGCTCCCACAGCTGCTCTGAAGGCCAAGAGCACGGAGCGGTGCAAGTGGCACCAACGGAGCTAAGAGAGGCCCTTGCTGACAGCCTGCAGGACGCCGGCGCCCGTCCGTCGGGGAGCCAAGTCATACCCAGCTCCTTGCGGGTCACTAATCAGTGGCAATCTGCTAACAGGAAATAGGAAATTCACAGACACACGAACACATGTCACAGCCCCCAGCTTAAGATAATAGAAACTGTATGATACTGAGGACCTAACGAGTCCACAGCAGAGGGCTGGGCTGGCCACCTGCCCTGGCTCCTGCACCCAGTTTCCTGTAATACCCAGTCAGAGGGTAGGGACCACGGGCAGGCAGGGACCACGGGCAGACAGGGACCATGGGCAGGGACCACAGGCAGGCAGGGACCACGGGCAGGCAGGGACCACGGACAGGGACCACGGACAGGCAGGGACCACGGGCAGGGACCACGGGCAGGCAGGGACCACGGGCGGGCAGGGACCACGGGCAGGCAGGGACCATGGGCAGGGACCACAGGCAGGCAGGGACCATGGGCAGGCAGGGACCACAGGCAGGCAGGGACCACGGGCAGGCAGGGACCATGGGCAGGGACCACGGGCAGACAGGGACCACGGGCAGGCAGGGACCACGGGCATGCAGGGACCACAGGCAGGCAGGGACCATGGGCAGGGACCATGGGCAGGCAGGGACCATGGGCGGGCAGGGACCACAGGCAGGCAGGGACCACGGGCGGGCAGGGACCATGGGCGGGCAGGGACCACGGGCAGGCAGGGACCACGGGCAGGCAGGGACCACGGGCAGGCAGGGACCATGGGCAGGGACCACAGGCAGGCAGACAGCACGCTCAAGGGGCGGGCTCCTGCCACCTACAGGGGACACCTGGATTTAGCGACTGGCCAGAAGTCAATCAGCAGTTACAATATTTCTCTCTCTACTTCTCAAGTTGTTGTTTGTTTTAACATTTTTTTTTATTGTAAAGGCAGATTTACAGAGACAAGGACAAACAGCAGCAGCTTCCATCCACAGCCCGAATGGCCACAACGACCACAGCTGAGCTGGCCCAACGCCAGGAGCTTCTGCGTCTCCCACGTGGGTGCAGGGTCCCAAGGCTTTGGACCGTCTTCTGCTGCTTTCCCAGGCCACAGGCAGGGACCTGGATGGAAAGTGGGGCAGCTGGGACACAAGCCAGTGCCCATATGGGATGCTGGTGCTACAAGGTAGAGGACTAGCCTGTTGAGCCATTGTGCCAGCCCTTCTCAACTTTGCTTTAAAAAAAAAAAATCTTTTTTTTTCCAGTGGCAAAAATGATAAGCTGAAACAACACAAAACCTGGAGCAAGGCCCTCCCAGGTGATGACAATCACGCACTAGCAGTACTGCATGCCACCGTCCGCGTGAGGCTGCAGCTCCAGCCGTGCACAGCATGGCGGCCCAAGGCCAGGAGAGGGGTGCAAATGAGCAGGGCGGCGGCCTCCAGCTGCCTGCGGCAGGCACAAGGAGCCAGAACCCCAGAACTCCAGCGAGTGCTCCAGGTCTGCTGTCTTCTGGTGCCTCAGAGCAGCGGGGTGGTCAGCAGAGCAGCCGTACACGGGGCTCCCAGCCTCTGCTGCAGACACACCCCAAACTCAGCTCTAAGCGATCGCTCCCCAACACACATCCGTTCCCTTCAACAGTGTGCACAACCCACCTGCCACCAACAAGTGTGGAGATACGCTACATAAACCCTAACACACACGACCCCAGCACACACAGTGCTGAGGAGCACAGAACAGCCGCAAGAAGAGATGGCAGCCATGGCAGCACGACCTGCCTTGCCCCTGGCTTCCAAGGACATCACTGCCCTCCCACTGCAGGTAGCACCCCAGCCCCCACTCTGCCACAACATCCCAAGGGCCGCCTGACACCCTCCCCACCGCAGCCGGGACCAGCCTTGCAGTCTTGGCCCCCTCTGGGCTTGCTGCGGAGGCATGGCAGTCAAGGAGCCCTCGGGATGCAGTGGAGACAAGCAGTCTCAACGGGCACTACCAAGGTGGACGTCACCAGGAAAGCGGAGAATGACAGCAAATGAAGGTGACCACCACGCAGCACTGCTGGAGAGGCCTGCAGGGTGTGGGCTGGGTGGAGACAGCGCGCCTGCCGCAGGGCAGCTCACCGGCTCCAATCCTGCTGCCCAGCTGCTCCTCTGCCCACACTCAAGCCTGGCGTGCACAGCTTCCAACTAGCTCATCACAGCCCCTGCCCTGCCCTGTCCTGCCCATGCCCACTGCAGCCCCGGAAGCCCGCTGGCCTCATCTTCCCGCCACACCCTTCCCTGCAGGCACTGCCCTCACTTTGCTCCAGGATTGTGCAGCGTCTGCGGGCACGGGTCCTGCCCAGGCCACACCGAGTGCCTGTCAGCCAGTTCCACCTCACTGGTTCCACGCATCTAGAACCATTTACAGCCCTGATCTCTGAGCCTTTACCCCACACTCTGGGGTGTGGATCCCACGCCCTGAGGGGTCTCTGAAAGGTCCCCACCACCTCCTGCACAGATGCCCCCTTCACTTCCTGACTGCACAAAGTGCTGCTTTAAGATTCAGCTCAGCAAGGAAGGCCGCTCAGCGGCAGCGTCCTCACAGCTCACTCAGCTCTAACTTTCCCATTTTGTCCTTGTCACATGAACGTGTTTTAACACAGCCTTCAGCCCTCCACCAACAGTGACAATGCTGGGGAATGGAGAAATCTAACACGTGAAAACGTAAACTCTAGTTTTTGCCCTGAAATACTTCCAATACCATGTGCTCCCCCAGTGGCACGCCCCGGCCATGGCGTCGGGCCAGTCGGTGGGCAGGGCCTCACCCAGGCCGCCATCAGGAGCCCCCACGACAACAGGAGGTTGTATTCTTCAGGGCTCGGGGAGGACTGCCTCCCTCCCACACTTAATTCCCTGAGGTCTGAGCTGTCTAATCCGTGGCGTCATTCCACTCCACTCCTCGCTCTCAACCACTCGGGGCCAAGGCCCCGTTGGGCTCTGCAAGGATTCCGGCCACCGCCTGGCCAGCCCCACCCCAATCTATACAAGCGACAGGGAACTGACTGCGATCAATGGCTCCATCACGGTCACGCGGTGCCAGGACCACCCTGGAGCGGTTTTAAGGGGCCACCCCACACTGTCCACTCCCACACTCCGGAAAAACCCGGTTTCAGCAAGTCCTCCCCCTCAAACACAAAGCAGGCGGCGCCCACCCCAACAGCACACGGCGATGACCTACGAGCCCAGCAGGACACGGCGCATCCAGCCGCCCAGGGACTCGCGCGGTGACAGCGCCCGGCAGGGCGGTGCCGCGGCGGGCGGGGGCGCGAGGAGCAGCGCGCGGGGACAAAGCGCCGGCGGGTCGGGGACGGGGACGGGGGCGCCCGGGAGGGCGGCGGGCGGCGCCGGGCGCGCCGGACACTCACCGTCCCGTTCGCGGCCGCGCTCTCTCGCGCTGTCAGCTCCGGGGACGGCGGCCGCCCGTCGCGAGCGCCTCGGGCGCGGTGCCGCGGTCACGGGAGACGGGCGCCGGCGCGGCAGCCACGGAGCATCCTCGGCCCGCGGCGCCGTCCTCTGGGGCCGCCGCGCAGCCCGACGCGTCCTCGCAGCTTCGCGCCCGGCCGGTCACTCCGCCGCCGCCGCCGCCGCGGAAAATGGCGACTCCGCGTCGCGCCCGCCCACAACGCCGCGCACGCGCGCGTGACGTCACCGGGTCCCGCACCTCCCCGCGGGCGGCTCCCGGGGCGCGCGGGGCGGGGGCGCGCGCGGGGCCGGGTGTGCGGCTCCCGGGGTGCGCGCGGGGCCGGGGTGTCGAGGCCTGGGTGCACGGGGCGGGGGTGTGCGGGGCCGGAGCGCGCGCGGGGACGGGGCGCCCAGCCGAGGTCCGCGCGGGCTGTGCGGGAGCTGCGCCGGGCCACGCCCGGCCCCTCCGAGGCGCAGACCCGCCACGGGCCCTTCTCGGAACGGTCCCCGCCCTTGGCCTGCGCTCCGCACCCCCCGCGTGCGGGCCTGGCGCTACCAGGGCCTCCAGGGCGGTGGCTGCGGCCGGCGCTGCCGCATCCCGGGTGCGGACCTGACTCAGCACCCGGCCGAGGGCGCTGCTGATCCAAGGGCTTGGGCCCGCGGCTCCCCCTGGCCGCCGGCGCCGTGGCCAGCGACGCGGTGTGGCAGGCGGGGTGGGGGAGGGCGCGCAGAGCCGGACCCACCGGAGACCACCCCCCAGCCCTGGAAACTGCTGTTGGAGCGGCCCACCCCAGGCTGCCAAGTGCTCTCCGTCACCGAATGCACTCAGGGAGCTCTGGGGACCGAGGACACTGGCAGGGCATGCACCTGCTCAAGCAGGCCAAACACAGCTGAGGCCCACACCCTGGCTCCCACACCTCTGTCCCCCTACCCAGGGACAGCTCATCCCATCACCCACTTCGCAGTGTCACACCCTGAGATGCTCAGGATAGAAGCCAAGACAGTGATGACCAGGACCTTGGGAGGGTCAGCAGGAGTCCCCACGAGCTGAGGCAGTGGGTGGGGCCCAAGGGGAGGATTCCAGGCAGGAACCCTCACAGGAAGCAGCCCAGAGGGCCAGGGCTCACCCTGGGGTTAGGTTCATGGGCCTCAGCTCTGTCTGCAAGGCGCAGGACCTGGTGCTGTCAGCCTCCAGCTCTTACCCTTAATGCCCTCGGCCCTGGTTTGTTGGGCTCACACCAGCACGCCCTTAACCATGCTGTTCACTCTGCCTGGAATGTACACAGGAATGCAGCCAAAGGCACCTCTGCCAGGAAGCCTTCCATGCCTACCCAGGCCTGGGCTTCAGCTCTGCTCTGAACCGTCAGCCTGCCTTGCTTTGTGTGGAAAGCTGAGGTGCAGCTTCCTGTGTGCCCTCAGATCTGACCGGGCCACAAGGTCTGGCTGGCCCTTGCCACACTGGAATCCACATACACACAGCCTGAGCACACCATGGCCCACGTACGCACAGCCTGACCACAGATATACCTTCCACAAGTGCTGCTTGCACTTGCATGGGGAAGGGACGGAAGGAGGAGGGATGCATGGCTCCTTTTCAAAGATGAGACATCCGGGCCCGGCGCGGTGGCGCAAGTGGTTAAAGGTCCTCGCCTTGCACACCCGGGATCCCATATGGGCGCCAGTTCTAATCCCGGCAGCCCCGCTTCCCTTCCAGCTCCCTGCCTGTGGCCCGGGAAAGCAGTGGAGGACGGCCCAAAGCTTTGGGAACCTGCACCCGTGTGGGAGACCCGGAAGAGGCTCCTGGCTTCGGATCGGCATAGTATCGGCCCGTTGCGCTCACGTGGGGAGTGAATCATCGGACGGAAGATCTTCCTCTCTGTCTCTCCTCTCTGTATATCTGCCTTTCCAATGAAAAAATAATAAAAATAAATCTTAAAAAAAAAGATGAGACATCCGGGGACAGGACGGGAGGGTCAGTGCCAAGCAGACCCCCGCCGGAGGTTGGTACCTCAAGATCAGCCCTAACCATCGCCCTCCCCAGGGGCTCTTGACCTCATACATAACACAGGTTGTTTCTGAGCTAGCTTTTATCTTTTTTTTTAAAAGATGTATTTATTTTTATCACAAAGTCAGATATACAGAGAGGAGAGACAGAGAGGAAGATCTTTCCTCCGATGATTCACTCCTCAAGTGACTGCAACGATCAGTGCTGAGCCGATCTGAAGCCAGGAACCAGGAACTTCTTCCGGGTCTCCCACACGGGTGCAGGGTCCCAAAGCTTTGGGCCGTCCTCTGCTGCTTTCCCAGGCCACAGGCAGGGAGCTGGATGGGAAGTGGAGCTGCCGGGATTAGAACTGGCGCCCATACGGGATCCCGGCACGTTCAAGGTGAGGACTTTAGCCGCTAGGCCACGCTGCTGGGCCCTAGCTTTTATCTTAAACACGTGAGTTCTTACACCAATTTGCCCTATTTCTTATAGAACAGAACACTTAACTCTCAGTGGAGGGTTCTTCATGGCTCACAGACGCGGCCACAAACGTAACACAGGTGAATGGGATGTGAAGTGGTGCAGAGGTCAGTTAGGATAGGATGGGGCTGACCCAGCAAGTGTCTGCTGCCCATTTCTGAGACCCAAGAAACAGAGGGGGCTGCTGAAGGCCTGGGAACTTTGGGGTGCTCAGCCGCCAGGGAGAGGCGGGGTGGGGGCAACCTGTGGGGCTGGTTGTACCCCCATCTCCTATTCCGAGGCCCTCAGCGGACACCTGCTCCTGTCAGTTGTGAATAAAGCCTGGTTTCCCGTGGACTTCACATGTCCTGGTCTACCCTACCAGGTAAGGTGGGCTTGTCTCCTGCGCCCTTGAGGCCGACTTCTGCTGAGACCCCGCAGGTTCTGCTCATCCCTAGAACCACTAGCAGCTAGGGCTGGGCCCCCAGGGAGCTCCTGGCTGGTGGGTGCACTGCCCTGTGCCCTGCATGTCTGGCAGCTCTAGCAGGTGCCCTCAGGGAGCCCAGCAGTGGGTGGCAGGACCACAGCACAGAGGACAGCCTACCCTGGAGCTCACTGTGAAATTCCCATGCTCCCAGCTGGGCTCAGTCCCTTGGTCTTGATGCCCACAGCACCCTGGTAACCAGCACTGCCAGGAACGTACACAGACATGCAGCCAAAGGCCCCTGTGCCAGGAAGCCTCCCAAGCCGCACCTGCCCAGGGCTGGGCCTCCGCTGTGCTCTGAGTCCTGGGCCTGACAGGACCCCTCTAGGCCCCCCGGCCCAGGGTTTCCTTCTGCCACTGATACGGCATGTCCCTCAGTGCTTCCAGGAGCCCGTGTCAGGTGGACCTCGGCCTCTGTCCCAAGGGGCTACTTGAGAGGAGCCAGGGGGTGGGCAGGACCAGGGGTTCCCTGAGGTGGACCCTAAAACACCTGTTCAAAGATGTCCTAATGGCTGCTGAGTAGCCCGGGGGCAGCTAGTCAGAGCCCAGGTGTCCCAGGACAGCAGCCAAGTACCCGGCAGGCTGCTTCTGTCAGGTGAAGAACATTTTGAGTTGATTCCCCTCCCATGAAGCCGGAGGTCCTGCGTGCGGGAAGGCCCTGGCCGGGGTCTTGGCCTGGGTCCTGCGTGCGGGAAGGCCCTGGCCTTCCTCCCAGGCTCTTTTTTCCAAGGTGCAGGTGTCCCGTCCTCCACACTCCTCCACGTCTGATGCTTCATCCCCAGTTCCACATTCCAGGCAGACGGGCCCACAGCCTGGGACTCAGAGCAGAGCCAGTGGTCATCACAGGACCCAGGTGGGGTGGGCTGAGGCCAGAAGGTCGCTGTGGTTACCAACCACCTGCTTCTGCCCTCCGGACCTCTGGGCCATGGGAGAGCCAGGGGCGTGTGGTGCCACCCTGCCAAGGCCCGGCAGGTAAGCTGACAACCTGTGGCTCTGTGGCAGGGGAAGCAGAGGGGCCTGTGTCCCTCCAGGCTCTACGGACCCAGGAAGAAGGGGCAATGCCTTGGTTCAGTCAAAGGGCCCACAGGCGGACAGACACCACAGTACTCCACACAGCAAGCCAAGTGGACCTGAGAAAGGAAGTGACTTTTGTTTTTCATCCATTTATTCTGAAAGTGACAGAGAGAAGATGCAGAAAGCAAGGTTGTTCATTTGCTGATTCAGCCCTAAGGGCCACAAAATCCAGAGCTGCACAAAGCCAAAGCCAGGGGGTTCATCTGGAACCCCCACACGGAAGCAGTGACCAGGAGCCAGGGCCTCATCTGGGTCCCCCACACGGGAGCAGGGACCATCTTCTGCCCCTTTTCCAGGTACATGAACAGAGAGCTGGATCAGAGATGGAGTGGCTGAGCCTAGAACCAGGACCCATATGGGATGCCACTTGTGCAGGAAAGCACTCCTCGGGCCGAAGGGTAGCCCTGAGTCACAGGCGGGCCTCTCCCAGCTGGGCAGGCAGTCTGTGCGAGGCTTGGGGACGAGTCACAGGGAGTGCCCGGGCTTGGCATCCGGACCCAGAGCTAATCTAGGCTGAGTCTTGCCTTGCCCTGGGCCACAGGTCACACCCAGCCTGGTGTCAGAATTTAAATCTACAAGGGGAATCCATGCAACTTCCAGGGTACCTCCCCAGCCTAGCTGGGTGTGCATTTCAGAGGAAGCTGCGGCACATCCACCCCTCAGTGCCACAGCGTCCCATCCAGCCCCTGCTGATGTACCTGGACAAGCAGCAGAGGACGGCCAGGTGCCTGGGTCCCTGCGCCCAGGCGGGGGACCCAGAGGAGGCTCCGAGCTCCTAGCTTCAACCCGGCCCAGCCCCGCCATTGCTGGCATCTGGGGGGGAGACACAATGGAAGATGGCGCTCTCCCCTCCTCTCCTCCTCTCTCTGTAACTCCGCCTTTCAGGTAAATAGAAATAAACAAATCTAAAACAGAGACAAGAGCAGAGAAGTCAGAGCTCAGGTTAGCACCCAGGACGTAGGATCCCTAACCTGCTGCACTGCACCTGCCCTGGGAAGCTGGTGTGGAAAGCTTCCCAGGGACGGGAGGGGCTGCACAGACGCCGGGGACAGTGGGGATAGTGGGGGCAGTGGGGGCAGTGGGGACAGTGGGGACAGTGGGGGCAGTGGGGGCGCCCTCACACCACAGGGACACTGCCCCCTCTGCACAGGCTCTGG